AATTAAAATAAGTTTCCTTAAAACTAACACCATAGCCAGAACAAGTTCAGGGGTAATTAAGCATTTAAGACTCTTATTAAATCATACAAAAAACAGCAGAGAAGTCTAAGTAAACTTTGAGTAAACTTTTGAATTTAGTATGAATATTGAATCTCAAGTCTTTTCACTGTGCGATACTCTGTTTAAGACTCAAGAAATTTGCTAATTAACTCAGTTGGTGAGCTAACTGTGAAAACATTGTTTCAAAACTATCATTATTAGTAATTATTTTAATTAGTTTAATGTAATTATACATTATTAATTCGCACTTAGCTTTTGCTTATATCTTCACATACAAATTTATACTTTTTGGATAGGTATTTATATCCCAGCTAAATATTTATACAAAAACTCGTTCAAAAGTGTTAGAAATGTAATTATTTTTTAGTTCTAATCAAAAATAATCACACAAAATAAAGTTGGCAATGCTAGCTTTAAATTGATAAATAATACTTATTTTATTTTCATTTGCTGTGCTGGCTATGGGCTTGACATAGAAATCTGCTCGTCAAATATATGCTAAGTTTAAGATGTCTTTAATCCAAACCCCAAAATACACAGCTGGTCTTGAGAAAACAGAGTACAATTACTATTGGGTTAGGTTATCGTGAGCGTGTAGATTAACCAGAAATATGCAGACCCAGAAGCACAAATGCCAGCACATACTAATGTCATGGTACTTAGTTGGCATAGGCATTAAGAAGTAAGTATATACTATGGAAAAAGCATTTATCCCCGCCCAGAGACATGGGACGTGAGACATGAGACATGAGATATGGAGAGACACGCGCGTGACACAATTTCGCTTAATTGAATTTGAAGACACTGATTATGTGCAGCCTATAGAAAGATACATATATATATACATATTAGACTAGACTAGAATAATATTTTCATAACGATGAGATACCGAGTTGACTATCCAACTGTCCAACTGTCCAACTGTCCAGCTGTACAATTGCAAAGCTAAACCGAATTCGTGCAATGACACAATTAAAAGAGATTCACGGCTCATCCCAACTAATTGCCAGATGAAATATGATTTCCTTTGACACTGAGCGCACTTTATAAAGTCGACTTGTCTCGTTTCCCAGTTGCTGCCTTGATTTTTCAGCTTTTGCCATAGCTTTTGCTTTAGCTTAAACGGCCTGTGCAGTTTATTGCTATTATTATTATTATTATTGTTTCCATTAGAATTTGTAGCGTTTCCCTTGCCCGAATCACGACGCTCTGTTTGTATTCGCATCGAGTACTTTTGTATATATTAAGTGTGAGTACACTCACAGCATGCTTGAGTGTGTATGAGTATTTGCCTCAGCTAAGGTCTCTGCTTTCAATTGAGCCGCCACGCTAATGTTCATTGAGACAGTAGCAGGAGCATTGTCATTTTTTTCTTTCTCTGAATTCCCTTGCAGAGGGTACTATAATTGTCTCGTCGAGTGTGTAACGAATTGGCGGAGACTTCTTTTAGAGTCGATGGAGCCATATTCTCATTTTGCCACTCAGCTTACAAATACCAAATATATATCCAATTGCAGCAGGCAGTTGCCGTATAGAAACACGATATCAAATAGTTTCGAAAGGTATAAATAAAAACTTTTTATCCGGAAGAAAAATATGCTTATGACAAGTGCTATGATGCCCACAACACTTGGCAGAAAATGTTGTTTCTTGTTTGAAAAAATATTTAATTTATATTTAATAATTGAATTAAGTTGTGACCAAGTTTACTTCGGTTGGTAGGGTATGTAATCTTCGGCATGCCCGAGGTAGGCCTGCTTTCTTGATTCATTTATGAAAAACAGCAATACAAATAAATATTCCACTGGGTTATCGATTTAAATATATGTATGAACGTATAAAACTATCTTTTCAACTAAATATTCCGCTTCTTTCTTTTAAAAATCTGCCATAATGGCAAATTTCACTGAAAATCAATATTGTTGACGATAAAAATAATAAATAAATGGTTTGTTTAGATTGCGAATATTTTATGGTCTTAAACTAGATTTTGTTTCGCTTCATATCATTATTGTTTATGTATTTGATTTCAAAATTCCAGTTCCATATTTCATTTGTGAAAAAGTTGTTGTGGAGAACACAGTGGAGCCGATTAATTTTATTTTTTTGTATTTATTTAGATTATGTATATGTATGTATGTGGGCAAATGTTCTCTTTCCCATTAGCTTAATCGCAACTTTATGCGTATATACATATGTATATGTGTTTGTATATAATAATAAGTATTTGTCATAGCTATTTTCTTTGGATATCTTTTTTGCGACACAAACAAGCCAAGGGGCACAGAATTATTGTCAAACAGTGGAGGGAATATTTCCACAACATTAAATAAATTGTAGATACTCTGTGACAATAGAAACTAGAATCAATATATTTGTATAGATCTTAATATTAATATAAGTTTAGTTAGAGTATGTATATTATTCAGAATGATATACACATTTAGCTTTTAGTTACTGCCCTTACTTCAACGCTAATAACTGAAAATTGCTTTGCATGTGCAATGGTTTTTTTTTATACCCTGCTTTCAATTACACTCAGTGACTGCATACGTATGTATCAGTAAATTGCTCTATTAAATGAACTCCGGCAACTGAAAACATTCCATTTTACACGTCTTGTCTTAGTTCTGTTATTGACAATATAATTAGGCATTAAAAGTGCCAAGTGTAATTTGCAATTATGCGATACGATCTGATTGAATGAATCGAGCATTATCAATGGGTATACACTTGACTATATACAGTATGGTAAGCACTGATGCGAACTGCAACGAATGCTATTGATAGCCATTGATTGCTTAAAATAGCTATACAAATTTTGCATTTGCGAAAAAAGAAAAAGAAACAAACAAACAAATACAAAAAAAAAACCTTATGCAACGGTTTTTTGCTTAGGATGTACGATTCGCGCATTCAAACGATCGCTCGTTGCGCTTTATAAATGGCACACAAATCGACAATTTCCTGTGCTCTACGCCCAGCAAGCGCCGCCGAAATTGTCGCTCGACATGTTTCCCAGCATGTTCCCAAATTAGTCAGAGTACCCGAGAGGGGAGAGTAAGCTAGGGAGGGGGCACTACAACTAATGTGTATGCGGACTGCAGTTACGTCAAGCTTTCAGCTTGCACTGCAATAGGTTACACTTTTTCTCTTGCCTAAAATTCATTTGAATGCATGCCTTTGTTGCTATCTTGCTGCGGGGCGTATGCGCAATGTATCATTTTTGTGGCGACGCCATGCGCTCATTAATAGAACTAATCAAATGCTTTAAAATTTTGTGTGTGTGCCATGTTACTGTAGATGGCGCTGCCATTATAGACACTAGATGGCGCCACAATTAAAACGTTTTAATAAGACAGAGATCAAATTAAATGTGTTTTAAATCAAATAAATATTTGAATGAATATTTTATGCGTACTTTTTATATCAAACTAAGATTATGTTTTAGTATTAAGTATATATCTATATATATATCCAAGAATATCCGGTGTGCAGTTCATCGTTTTATAGTTTTATTATTACGCAAATTGCAATGATTTTTTTTTGTTCTGTGTATAATGAATATGTATTAAAAGTAAAAAACGTTAGTGTTTTGTTAAACTTTAATATTTATTTCACTTCGTTTCAGTTTCTTACAATATTTTTAGCAGTTGCTTTCGTACTACATTTTACAATGCCTTTCGCTTTTGCTTAAATCAATTGATTTACTTTTATATTATATTATGTTATTTATTTCATATAATGCTATGTTATGTGTGTGTATTTTGTGTCTGTGTATGTTTAACATTGGTTATGGTATGCATTTTATTTTGTTGTATATGTTTAATTTATTTGTAACCTTTACTTAACAATTTAAATATTCGATTTTACTTTTCATTCGCATTTAACATTTCTTGGATTCGCAATGTTGTTTGTTCTTAGTATTTTTTATTAAACTATAGTTAGCAGCTAACGGTTTTAATTTTTATCTTTGCATTTCATGAATACATTTATATAAAAACAAGTTTTTTTTCATACAAAATATAAACTAATTACAAATATTCATATATATTATTTTATATAAATGTATATTTATAAGTATATATATTAATAACGTTTATGACTGAAAATTAAATGTTTATTTACAATAACTGGACTTTTGAATTTTAGATAAGCCATAAGACATAGTTTTTAAGTTGTTCGTTTTGTTTTGGTTTATTTAAATGCGCAAAGGAATTTATTGTTTGCTAAATTTTACAATACACATATAAACATAATTTTATAGTTAGAATCGATCAAAGAAATGCAGCTTATCTTCACTTTTATCATTTGCTATAATATTTACATTATGTATTTAGTTTGTATATGTATTTGTATAATATGTTTTTCCACATTAGGTAACAGTGCTGTATTTTTTTACTTTTATCGTTTTTCAATTTCATTATTTTGCTGGGTTAGTTTCTTTATGTATACATTTAATTATGTCATGTGCTTCGGGTAGTTTCTAAAAATTATACTGAAACTTTGACCTATTTTGTTCTTTTTTTAATGAAAAGAAACACGTTTTTTTTAATGGAATGGCTTATTAGCTCCCTAACATTATGAATAGCCAACCTTATATCGATTGTTTTTACTGTATGCATTGTAATTTATGCCAAATTTTCCACGGTTCTTTGTAGCGCCGACTTGAAACAGTTTATTTTAAAGTCTTAAAGCCTAATGCACATCTTGAAGCTTAGTCAAAACTTGTAGTTAACCTTCTTGTTGAGGTTAGATTCGAATGATTTTCGTATTACTTTCAATATTTATCAAATACTTGTAGTATTTAATTTTGGAATCGCTTAAAGCCAAGCTGCCTTTATCTCAAATAACACGCTGCCAAATTAAATGTTTGAATTTATCATATATTTTACATACATGTATAATTGAATACTATAGAATATATAAAATACATTTATCCAAACAATTTGCTAGCCTGGGTTTTGCTTTTGGGCATATCTAACGATATTTTGCGCTTAGTTTACGAATAGTTGTAAATAGTAGACAAAAAAGGAAACGATATATGTATGTATGTTAATTAAATGTGATTTATCCTCGAATTGATCTCGCTGTTGTTACTCTCGTTACAAAGTTTCTCAATTATTACATTTAACTATGCCTTAACATAAGATCAACTAAATTGCACTCATCCTCCTTAGTAATATCCATACATATTTCAGTTAAGTTGTACGACTTTCAACTAGATCATGCTATAATTTTACCCTCATGTACTCTTATAGTAATAGCATGCTGATTTTCTTAAATTTTTATTTTGCTGGTAGTCTCAGCGCATCTATAAAATCTACTGCATCTCCTCCTGCTTGGGCTGACAAGATCCGCAGCACTTCTCCTTATAGCGATGCAATCGACAGAGACCCATGGCACGAGCATTCCGACAATATCGCGAAGTATCGCGACAACCAGACGATTTAGTGACTGTGAATATAAGTTGAGATATGGATATGCATATTGATAATTATTCATATGTAATTGAGAAACAGATAAGCGTAGATATTCGTATAAATTGTTAAGGATATCGGTTAAAATATTCAAATAATTTTATATTCATTTGTCGACATAGAAAAATACAAAAAGTACCAAATAAATTAAATAAAATAAAATGAAAAAATATCAATTCAATTAAATTTAGATAAATTGTATAAAGTAAGAATATATTAGAAATGCAAGGAATTTCTTATAATATTAAAATAAATCTACCTAATAAAACTCGATATTCGTTGCTAAGACTGATTAATATAAAATAACTGTGCGCATTCAAAGACTAGTTTAAGAGCAAAATGAATTTGATTTGCTGCTGCACATCAACTGTTTTATGGGTCAAGTATAAAATCTGCTTATAAAATATGTAAGGTTATTTTTTTGTTTTTACTTCTAAGTATTTATGCATATTTGAGCATCAAATGCATTTGATAAATTATTAACATCGATATTGCAATTCAAATGTTGATTTGTTATGTTTTGAGTTAGAGATGAATGTAGTTATGTACTTACGCTTGGATTGACATTGGGGACTCTTGCACACCTTCATGACAGCCGGTCGGGGTTGATGCTTGCAGACATTGCCGGCGGGTCGACGGCTGCCATACCAGACACACTGCAGAATGCGGAATTTAATGCCCTGGCGACCACAGGGCGCATTGCACTGCGGAAGGAATTGCATTTGTGGCATTAATAAAAGATACGCTCAATGTTGCAAGGCAGGCACAAACCATACACTCACAAAACAAAATTAAAAAAGAAAATCGCCCTAATTAAATTCAAAAATTTCTCTTTTTAGAAATAATAGAAAATATTATTAAAAAGAAGAAATTCATTCTAATTTTACTCTCTGTGCTTTCATATTAGAGTCTGATTTAGTTTAGCTCTGTAAGTTTTTCAAATAAATTTATAAGCTATGTAAATTGTTTGTATATGTAAAATCTAAAAATACAAAAAAAAGAAGTAATAAAAACTTGATTATAAGAATTATTCAAAGACAGATTCTTTTAAATTTTAGAAAAATGAAATTTAGAAAGATAAGCACTGGTTTTTAGAATGAAACTACCATAAATTAAGGGCGATTTTTTTTTGTCGGAGTGTAGTAATAGTCATAGCCAGAGCCAGAGCTGACATCCACCCACCTCGGACCAGGGCTCCACACGCCAGACGCCCTTGCAGCGCTCGTTGTAGCATTCCTGCCGCCCCGTCGGTCTCTCGTACTCGTCGCAGAGGCTGCCTGAGCTGCCGTTCTCGTAGCGGCAGCTAACCTGCCGCCGTTGCATGGCCGTGTTGCGCCCGTGGCACCGCGAATTCTGGCAGAGAGACCAATCGCCCTTGGTCCAGTGCGGACAGGGCTCGTTGCCGCAGCTCTGGAACGTGTCAGGCATGTCCAGCCCCTGGGCACGGCACTCTGCATTCTCTACGAGTTGGGCGACGATGCCATCACCATTTGACAACGCAGTCATCCTCGACGTTGCCTTCTTTGTTGCCTCACGGCGGCAGCTCAGTGTGCGACGCTGTTTGCATGGATAGAGGTGGCAAAAGAAACAAAGTTAACTGTTATTCTTGCTGCTTTCTTTTCTTGCGGCACATAAAACAATGCCAGCAAGAGGCCAGAACAGCAGGCAGGCAGGCAGACAGGCAGACAGACAGGCAGGACAACCATGTTTCGGTCTTCTCCGGTCACTGGCTGTTAAAATATTTAAACTCGTGCTTGATTTTTATGTGGACTCGGGATACACAAATCCTCTCGGTGGCTGCTGTGCAATTTTGCTCTGTCCTGTCCTGCTTGCATTTGGCTAATTATTATATAAGTGTCGTCTGTTGCTTGGGGAAACTGTTCGCTCTCTTTTCTAATGCTTGTGCGAAATACATTTTCATGTCTTTTGCAAAGCTCATTTTGCCAGAAGGGTAAGTCAGGATTTTATATACATTGTGTTACGCAAATAAATATTTACATTTCATTAAGATTTCTTTGACGGAAAGTCATCTTAAAAAAAAATAAAAAATCACAATATTCATTTTGATAACAAAACTTTGTTAAATGTATATATATATTTTTTATGTAGCATTTGTATTTTAAATTAAAATCAAGATAACCAATATGAATAAATATTTTGTTTGTTTTAATAGATTTAATGCTGCTTTTTGCAGTGAAATAATAAGAAATAACTATCTCAAAGTGTTTCCCCAATTAAAATCAATCAATATTTTGTTTACTTTTTAATAGAATTAAAAAACTTTAGTGTTTCAGTGATGCTAATCTGAATCTCTTGCAGCACTTTGATCCCCCTTTTGAAACGTTGAAGCAACATTAAGTGACTGACAAAAGCAATGTTAAATCGCAAACGGTTTCCAAGTAATCGATTTTGAGAACTCACCTGCAAACCGCTGCCAGCAGCACCGCATTCTTGCGAGCACTTGGACCAATCGCCCAGCTCCCATTTGTAGTCATAGTGACCACTTTCCGACTCCCCCTCGTCGCTGCTGCCCCCCTTATGGTTGTTGTTGTTGCTTTTGCTGTGTGTGTTGGTTGGTGAGGCCATTGCGATTGTTGTTGCCGTTTCCCAGCGAGCGTGTGGCATATGCGGCGGCACATTCTCCGTTTGGGGTGGCTCTCTGCTCTTCAGGCTGGGTATGGCAAGTTCCACTCGACCCGCCTCGGTATGCAGCTCTTTGGTTACCACACGAGCTGCTGATGGGGATGGAGACTGAGTCGGAGACGGGGAGGGGACAGGCTCATCCTGTTCGTAACGCTGTTGCGGCTCCAAATCGAGACCGTAATTGAGCGCCTCACGTTGCAGCAGATGTTGTCCGCGCGAGTCCTTAAAGCGCTGCAGTGGCCAGAGTAACTGCAGGGAATGGGATAATCATCAAGTTCGGGTTACGTATGTTAGCTTAAATATTAGGCAAAAGTTTGCTATGTATGTAGCCCGCATGCAGCATGTGGCATGCAGCATGTGGCATGCAGCAAGTAGTAGGCTGCAGGCAGCAGGCAGCAGTCACATGGCAACTCACAAAGGCAGCATTAATTGAGCGCCATGTTGAGCTACGCTATGCTACGGTAAATTTGCACGGCCGTCAACACGTTTCCGTTTCCGCTTTCATACTGTGCAAATTCTATGATATGTATGTGTATATTTGGACGTGTGTGTGTGTGTGTGTGTGTGTCTACGTTTCAGTGCTGTCAAAATATAACTAGCCTCAGAACATAACGCATAACATAATAATAAGAAATCTGATTTGCATGAAAATAAAATACAATTGTAAAAAATGAGACAATTTTTACAGATGAATTTATCGCGATATCATTTTATTTATTTTATAAATTTTTTTTATATAATATAATTAATATGAGGAGCAAAATATTAGATTTCTGCATAATCCACAAACTGTTTAATTTTTTTTTTACTCTTTCAATAGTCGCTGTTTACATAATATGACCTTAAGCATGCATTATATATCTCAATTATTTACATACTTTATTCCTTTCTCAGAGTATTTGGTAAATGGAAAGTTTGAATTTGTCTTTTACATTAGAGCAGTATATATTTGATTTGCATATTTTCAATGACTCATTTAAAATATTTAACCTTCTGGCCTTTTTAATTATATTTACATAAGTAATTCTAAGCAAAGTAGCAAACGCATTTCTTTGATATATTTAAGTTTTCACAATCTAGAAGAACAAATAATTAAATAAGTTGTGAATATCATACTTTAGTATTTGAGGCGCACTTTTTCGCTTATGAAATCAAGTTCCCTCAGACCTCAAATGCTCAATGTATTTTAAATGAAAACCAAGTAAATTTCTGAATATCAGAAAACCCTCATGAACATAACGAACTTAAGATACATAAAACATTTAACCCTTTTAGAATAATTGATGCCTTTAGTCAAATTTATCGTCACATGTCACAACAGCAATTTCGATGATTTTTGTTTGTTTTTTATTAATTTGAATTGATTATTGAATGTTTCTTTTTAAATGCCCCATTAACATTTTTAAATTATTTATATTGTTGGTTAGTAGTAATGCTAATAAGAATTCGACCTAAATACTGTTTAAAACACCTTAAATATAATTTAATTCAATTTAAATCGCTGCTGAAATGATTTTTTCAACTAGCAGCTTAATATTGCGAACAATTCGTTTTGTATTAATTCACTTTACGTTTATATCGTATTTATTTTTGAAATCTCTTCTGACTAGCACAATAATTTATAAGTTTCAATCGTGCAGCGCTCGGATGAATAAATAAATCAAATTAAATAAAATGTCGCTTCCGCTGCTGGTTGTTCTCAAAAATCACAAAATTTCAACATTATCCAAAGTTGGGACGGGGGAAGTGATGTGAAATGTGGACAACACTGACGCTGCTCTTCATGTATGCACACTTGAATTGGCCTCATCAATTGCTTCACGTTGACTGACTGCGTAGTGCGAAATCCGATTAACTTTTGAACTCTGTACCAATCTGTGAACCCATAGCAAACCAACCACCCTGGTTAACTCACCCCTCACCCCTCACCGCTCACCCTAGCACAAGTGCGGTGCAAAAATTTGACTACCAAATGGATTTTTGGGATCAACAATTTGCTGGTGCATATACAACGCATTTGATTTTTGACTTTTGGCAAACTATCGCAGCACCACACCCCCCATTTTGTATCCCCCGTAAAACTAGGATTGTCTCACTGTAAGTATCATCATCATCATCATCATCATCATCGTCGTCGTCATCATCGTTGGTCGTTTTCATTTACAGCCCGACCCGTTGGGGTCGATGGGAGTGAGCCAAAAAAGATGATTTCCCAAGTGGTACTTGAAACCGACAAATACGGTTCAGTGTTTGGTCTTGTTCTTGTTGTTGTTCTTGTTGTTGATGTTGCAGTTGCATCTGCTGCGCTTTTATGTGAAACTGCTGCTCCTTCCGTAAATGCATATGCATGTCTGTGTGTGTGTGTGTGTGTGTGTGTGGGTGTGTGTGTGTGTGTGTGCAAGTGTGTGCCGTTGTCATTTGTAGCTCGACACTAACGCCAACGCCTCCATAGCCTTTTATTGTCACCGCAATCGCAATTGCAATCGCTGGCATTGGCATTGTTCCTGTGTTGCTCTTGTTATTGCTCCTGCTGTTGCTGTTGTTGTTGCTGTTGTTGTTGTTGTTGTTGCTGCTGCCGTTGTTGTTGCTAGTGAGCCCCCTGTCAATACGTACTGTAGTTGAAGCAGCAAGCAAAATTGCTGGCAAGCATTTGCAGCTGCTACTCTTGCCCCTGTTAGGCGAAGCTTTTGTTCAATGCAATCTTAGAAGGCTAATGTTAAACTCATTATAAGCATCGTACTAGAGGCCTTTTGATAAGACCAATTCTTTCAATGTGGTTATACTAAATAAATCGATTTTGTGGCTAACCAAATAGTCAAAGCATTGTTGTGCTACGCGATGTGATGCATTTTCCAAAGGTATATTAATGAGAAAAAAATATATTTTAAAACTTGTCTGAAAGATATTCATTTTTTTGTAGATGAACTTTAGTTTAAGATACTGAGAAAAACATAAAGCTAGACAACATAATTACTTGAAGAGTTTTTATTAGTTCTTAATCATATTAATTAAGAAACTAAAAGTTTTCCAATAAATTTAATCAGACTCAGCGTGATCTGCGTATAAGCGAACTATAATATAAACATTTAAGGGAGAAAAGGTTTAAGAATATGCATATAAAATATGATTTATGCTTTTAAAGAGAGAAACACTAAATGCATTTTCGTAAGTTAAGAACAATTACAGCAATGCTTCCTGTACAATTTTGAATGTGAATATAAACTGCGTGACTCCACTAAATATTTGTGTCAACCTATCTTTATTCAGATATATTCATATTTTGTTTTTATGAATCAGAGTGCAATCATTAATAAATTTTAAGTGGATTGCCTTTTGGGTAACTTTAGCTGTACTCATTAGCATTCAAAGGTGAATATTTATATATTTTCTGCAATCATTTAAAAGAGGAATTTTGAGGCACGCACATCGTTAAATTCTCACGCCTGAAAAGCGGTCCAAGCATTGCCATTGACAACTAGGTAACCAAAAAGGCATAAGCCAACAATCAGCCATAAAAAAACAGTTACAAATAATATTCCCCGGATTCCAGAGTGAGTTGACCAGACAGATACCCTATATCGCTATTTCGAAATATTTGGAGTATTGTTGGTGAGTTTATAGAGCAATTAAATTCAGATCTTTTGAGATAAACTTATTTTTTTATGTTCACATACATATATTGGACTTCAGTTTAATGCCTAAATATTATACCCTATGTAATGTGTACAGGGTATGAAAGCCAACTCACGAAATGTGCAACATATTTTTTTATTATTTTATTCGACTGAATTTAATTTGCGCTTAAATGTTGCATTCAACATATACAGAGAATGCTGCAATTTGCAAGCAGTTTAAATGGAGCGCAGAGTCAGAGAACCAGAACCATAAAACCGCCTCGGGGCCTGGTTATCCTGTGAGCCTGCCAACATCCTGCGAGCGGAGCATTAATAAATAGTTGCAATCAAAATTAAAAGGGCAGCAAAATTGCGCAAACCTTTTGCAGTTTGCTTCTTTAAATCATTTTGCCAGCAGCTTGATGAATAGCACTAGAAATTTTATGTAGCCAAGGGGAGGGGGGGGATAAGGAGCCAGTTGGTGGTAGCTGCAGCAATGTTTATGCAACGTCTGTGGAAATTTATTAACGCGCCCTTAGCGCTGCGATTATTGGTACAAGCTTTATAAATTTGTCAGATTTGTGGAGCCTACGCAGAAAAGTCAGTTGCATAATTAATAGGCGAAAATGCTGAGCCATAAATTGCATGGCTCGTACGAGCTGTTATTCATCTTGGCTAATTGGCATGTATAATGACCAAAATGCATTAGCCTGGCTACCAGCTATACTGCTGTACAAAAGCCAATCGCCATTCAATGGATTGCCTTGGCCAAAAGATAAACTCGCTGCTAATGAGCACAGTTAGCCAGTTGAGTCAACAATGTAAATTGCCTTGAATTAAATAGCATATTAGAATATAGAATATACTGTAAGGTAAGCATATAGATAAGGTAAGATAAGGCTCATAAAAGTGGCAAATTATTGAATGCCATTAAGCAGAAGCTAGAAGAACATTGCATTAAACAGCTGACGACTGCGAAATACTGTAACTTGTTAGAAATATAAAATTCGTATAAGATATTTTCAACTTTTCAAATAATATTAAGAGAAATGTTACAAGGAGAGTAAGTTTCACTTGTTCATTGTGCAATAAGATGATCAGTAGCCACATCATTTAAATTGATTGTCTCCAGTATCTAAATTGTACAATATTTGGCTTTTTAAACTCTGATAACAAATGCATCTGTGAATTACTCTCATTGCTGGAAAAGGAGCAGTACAATCCCATTTATATGTCAATTATATAAACTGATTTTTAGTTGTAGCATTATGAATAGCACATATATAGTTCTCTATTAACTTATGCAGTCTATTGTACAATTTATAAATTCAAAAGCAATTGTACAAAATAATTTTTGTTTTAATTTATAAATTGAAACAATACTTTGATTATATTTTTTCTAAATCACTTAAAATGCGGTTGAACAATTATGCAATTATTATTTATTTCAAAATTCAAATGTGATAAATCAATATTTTAAGAATTAATTGTGAACTATTAACAACTATCAAAAATTTTAATATTTCAACCAATATTCGCTTGAGTGCCATTAACACATTTTTGATTGCACTGTGGAGCGAAACTTATTTTTTCTGTCTCAATATAGTTGTAACTCAACTAAATATATCAATATTGCAGTTAATATGCTTTTGGAATTATGGATTTTATTTATTTTACAACATTATACATGTGCTAAGGCTGTATTAAATATATTTCTTTTTTCTTTATTTGAACCAAATGTTAACGAATTTGTCCCCACAGTGCAGGGCATACGGCAACTAAATCCAATGCAAATATATTTAATTTTTAGTAATAATGCAAACTGATTATTATTTTAGTGGGCAGTCGAGCGCAATACCGCAAAGAGTTAATCAATGCGCCGCAAGCTCTCAAACCCAAATAAAAAAAGGACTTTATCATTGTGCCTGACACACTCAAATATATTTATATATATATAGCTAAAAGTTGTTGGCCAAAATCACCGTCCGAATAAGCTATGAATTTCCACATATACATACATATATATATATATATAAATATATATAGATACATATAGTTTTCAGTTGGCCAACCGTAAAATGTGCAGCATTATCAACTAGTTTTCGAAATTAGATAAAAATCGCATTGCGAGCCATTTAAGTGCCTGTTTAGATAGCCGGTCTGCATTTTAATGTGGCTTACAATTTAACGGTAACTAGCTTTGATAAATGTGCCATCTGCTTCCTGGAGGGAGGCAAGAGTTGCAAGTGACAACCATAAACTGGGTTGGAGGTTAATCCTGCGTTGTGCTTGGCCGTGCGTCATAAATTATTTTTGCCAAATCTGCATTTGGCATTACGGATATATTAAATTGGCTTGCAGCAAATTTCGTTACTAAGCAGTTGCTGCACACTAGCCAACTTCTATGCTTAAGTCTCACTGGTTTCTATTAAGCTGCTGCTGCTGCTGCTGTTGTTGTATACGTTTTCATAACCAAAAACCACCATACTAAATTACACACACAATTCTACACACAAACACAAAACCCACACACACACACACACACACACACACACACACAGAGCATCAACTTGGCCGTCAGGTGTAAAAGGCAACTTTTGGGCGATGCCGTCGACAGCGTTGACTGAAAGCTAATTTTCTATGCCAAAAATTTGTTTGACTTGGTGTACACATATATAGTATATATATATAGGGTATAACTTTTATGAGCTGGTGGGGAAAATGCAAAAGGTGAGGTAGAAATTGCAATGAACCCGCGCGGCAAACAAACTTTTCAATTAATAAATTAAGTTTGTGGCAAAAAAATTTGTTGCTAATTGTTTGTTGGCTAGCACATACACACACACACACACACACACACTCACAAGCACACATGGCGGAAACGCTTGACGTTGAGGGCGTGGCACTTACCCAGCCAGCATACCAACAAAAAATTTGCTTTTTCTGCTTTTGCTGCTCTTGCTGCTGCTGTCATTCAATGGCAGCGAGAAGAGCTCATTAAAAACTTTTGAAAAAGCATAAGTGAAAAAGTTATTAAACATTTCACATATTCTTTGTAAATTTGTATTTGTTTCATTTGCATTGACTAATATTTTTGCATGCATCTGAATAACATTTCAATTAACATGCAATCTAAAAGTAATATTTTAAACAAGTTAAAATACACTTAAAAACAGAGTGTATCAAAAGTTGAGTAGGGAAACATCTAATTGATTTTGTGTACTTGTTAACCCATATTACTTATTAACCTTATTCACATTCATTTTCAAAATAATAGGTGTTCTATTATTAAATGGGAAAAAATCTCCGATTATATTTTTAATTGATTTTCTATATTTTTTAACCCATATCATTTTTACACTTATGCTCAAAATAATAATTACTTCACCCAACCTTTTGTTTACAGTCAAATATTTTAAGTTTGTATATTATTTATGACAATTTGATCATTTCTATAATTGAATTATCTGTACTTAATTACAGATTAACACCCACTTTAGAACTGCTTTTTGCAGGGCATATGCCAGTCACGACCATCTCAGCTAGTAAAATTTACATGTGTGTGCGTTTTTTTTTGAGGTCAGGAACATATTGTTTATATGCATTTTATCAACAGATTCACGTGAATTGCAGCTGGTTTTTGTGTCATGTCCATAAAAAAAAATAGTGGTTTTCCTTACTTGTATGCATACAAAATATTTGCATGTGTGTGTGTGTATATTAATATAATGAAATTAAAATGTCGTTTGTTTCAGTAGACCAAAAAGAATGTTCAATGCTCAATTTTGATGTATACAAATTAAGATTTAATTAAGGGCCTCGCTTTTTTTTTTTTTATGTTTTTTGGGCTAAGTTACGTTATAATTTGTTAGTACATTGTGATTTATTTGTATTTGATTGGCATTTTATATACTTGATTGGTGCTTAAATATATTATGAATTTGGTTATTAGGCCTGCATATTTTGAAGCTTGTTAAATATTATTGAAAAGCGACTTTTAAATTTGATCTCAAGGATCCATTAAAAGCATTCATTTAAACTATCTTTAAATATATATAAATGTACATTCAAATACATTCTATGGAGTATTGAATATTGGTCAACCAAAATTTGTATTTGAATTAATCGATATTAATTAATTAAACATGTCACTCGAACACTCACATTTCGCTTAAATTTGCATTTATTCAGTTGAGTATTTTAGCTTGCATAAATTCATGCTAATTTTCGATCATATTATTCTGTTAAATAAAATAGTTTTATGCATACGATGCTTAATTTGCTCTTTGCACTTATTGCAATTATAATAACAATAATTTTGGCTTGGGCATGCAAAGCATTTGCTTTACTTGACTTTTATTATTTGCCTTTTGCTCTTTTGTGCTTTGGTTTCATTTCATTGTTTGCTTGTTTTTGCAGCCCATTAAGCCAATTGTTTGCTCATTTCAACAAAATGCACAAAATGCAAATAAAAGTCAGCGAAAAATGTCTTTGATTGCAAATAGTTTTGGCGATGGCGGCGAAATGCGCGTAAAAAGCTCGCCTCGAGTGCTTCAGGAGCTCGTTGGCCAATTGAAAATTTAATGAAAAATTCGGTAATTAAACGTATACAAATTTTTGTTTTTGGTGGAGACTGCAACTGTTTACGCGCTGTTTACTGTTTACTGTATAAATATATATGTATATATATGATTTTATTTGAGAGAGGTGAATATAAAGTGAAATAAAATGGAAATGGAAAGCATATAGCTTGTTGTATACAGAAATATTTAATGTTTTACCTACATTGCATATCAGTAATCAGAAAACAATTGTTTTTGTATTTCCATTGTTGTAGTTGTTGTTGTTTTTTTATATATATTTTGTTTTATTTTATTTTATTTATTTTTTTTGTATCGTTGTGTTGTTGTTTATTTTTGTATGTGAGGGTTTGTTTGAGATTAAGCATCGCAACATCGCCCCGCCCCCAAAAAGCGAGCGCGAAACAAAAATTCAGTGTTTCGGCATACGTATACATAAGTAGGAAAAGAAAGAATAAAAATGTGTGTTTGAGAAATAAAATTGAAGTGACGAACATCATAATGTGGCATGCAACAAAGTGCTAAACAAGGAGAACGAGAAAACATGCAGAACGCGACAAAACTGCTAAGAAAATGAAGCAACAAGCATAAATCAGAGAGATCAACTTAAGTCAAACTAATAAACACAGCAACTCCTGAGGAGCTTTAGCTCGGTTGCGAATTGCAAGAGAGTCTGTGTTTATTTTGTTTTTTTTTTTTAACAAATAACCAGCTAAAAGACCATAAAGTTTTAATACTATCAGTTTACACTTTTTACATTCAATTAAATGCAACAGTTTCAATCAGATTCAAATGAAACTGCGTTGCGTAAACAATAATGTTGAAAGACAATATACGTGCAAAATTAAAAGATAATACCAGATAATAATACTGTTGCAGCAATCCAATACCAATTGCCGCAAACTTGTTGGCACTTTAAGCTTGATGAATGGATATGTATGAATGTGTACGTGTGTGTGTAGGTGTGTGTGTATGTGTGTGAGTATGAGTATGAGTGGGTGTAGGTGTATTTGTGTGCTCTTTGCTCGAGGACAACTTTGTTGGCTGAGCTGCTGGGCACAAGTTCCAATCAGACCAAAGACAAATATGCGCAGCCTGTAAATTTATATGCAGAACTTTGGCAATTTGGCAATGGCACACACACCCACCCACAACCATACACACACACACACACACACACACACCCTAGACCCACTTCTCCCTGCTTGAAGTGCACTAATTTCACACATGCACCACGACAATCGGCCTACCTGGGGTAACAATTACATTTACAAAATTACTACACGATAAATGGTCTGGTTGGTAAAGCGAAATAATTTCACGTGTGAAGAAGAAGCGAGAAAATGAATGCATTTAAATCAAAAACAATCTCAAAATGTAGTAATGAATGCGCACAACAAGAAGAAAATCGAGAAACGAAAAACGAAAAAGCGAACGAAACCAAACCAAACGAAACGAAACAAAACCAATGCAATCCAATGCAATGCAATGCATTGCAATGTAATGCAAAGGATGCCTCCTCACCTGCAGGTTGCTCAGCAACGCCTCGAAATAGGGCATGGCCAGAAGAGTTTTGGTGCGACTGCTGCCGCTGCTGGCGCTCGCTGGCTGTGGAATTCTGTCCTGGGATTGCACTAATTGCGAATGCTATATATATATATATATATACATATACACATATAAATATAAATCCATATATGTGTGGCATGGAATATTTTTTATTGATGATACACAATTCGCAATCGCATCGAAAAAGGGTGTTTTCGTTGGCATTTGGTGGGGGAGAGAGAAAAGTATTCATTAATAATGGTTTTTCTTACAAAACTTATGTATGTCGTGTATAGTTGAATATAGTTATGGATAAATGTTGTTGGTCTTGTTGATGCTGGGGATGAGAAGTGTTGATAGCACAGCCCAAACTTGCTGAACCATACAACAAATAATAATAGATCGCCTTGGTATATTAATTTTCAAGATTATCGTTGAATTTATGTTAACAATTAAGATATGTGAAGATTTTTCAATTTATACTAACAAATATTCCTTAACTAATCGTTGTGTTGTTGGAGTAAAACTACTAATTACGCTCATAAGCTAAATACATTTTTCTGTTCCCATTAGAATTTCCCATTAATTCTTTCCATTTTCCTTATTTTCACTATTGAGGTTTTCTCTGTTTGCAATTATATTTTATAGTTTTTTTTTATGTTTTGATTTTAAATATTAAGTTTTGTTTTTAATTAAATCTAATTTATTTTTGTACTTTTTTCTGTTTATACTAATATTAATCAAAATTGAAAAATAATTAAAAATAAATTCACTTGAATGAATTTAAATTTAACAGTTTTATATTCTTATTTAGGTTGCATCATAAGTTCTATTGAAAATGTTTTTAATAGCTTTAAATTTACTTTAATTTCAATGGGATTTTCTATAATTTGTTGTGTATTTCAGATATAAGTGCTATTTGTCATAATAACTTAAATATTTTGTTAAAATTCAGTTGAGTAAGTAATTATAAAAAGCACTTAACCCTTTTATGTCAGACAGCAAAATTCGAATCTATTTCTGGCAAACAATGTTCAAGTGCTCAAATGCTTATAGAATTTTGAAGTTATATTCGTTGCAAGCAAAAATCATATTTTCTCCCATTTCCTTGCATCCCTTATAATTTTTGCAGTATTTGGCTTGAAATCTGCTTTTGCTATTATGCTATTTGCTATTTTGGCAGAGCCAACACAACAACAAAAAAAATACTATAAAATTATAACGCAATTTCGACAGCACTGGAACTCAATCCAAGCATTTACGCTAATATTTCTGTTTATTCGACTTGACCTGAGTTCGCTCAACAAACGGGAAAAGACAAACAATTTTGCTCGAGATTTGTGTGAGCTAGTCGAGCTGAACGAAGCTGCTTTTGCACCGTGCACCTTGCTGCGCATCCTGTTTCCCATCAATGGCAAAGCAAGACACACTTGCCACTCCTCTTTCCCTTGGTCTATATGTTTGTTGTGGAAATGCTGTTGGCTTTCCTTTACTGGGCTCAGCACAATGCTGCTCGGCTCTGCGCTGTTTTTGCTGGCAAACGTTACGTATACGTAATTTCATTTGAAAGCGCATTATGTATACGTATACGTACATGTGTTTGGACAGTTGACTAGTAAAATGGGGAGAAAAAAAATTTACAGCCACAAAATCTGAAATGCCAACAGACACAATGCAGTTGTAGTATGAGCGCATATATACATATAGAGTAATCTGCAGACATTTGTACAGTTTATATATCAGAGTAAAGTAGAAAAACTATCAAATTACGATGTGGACTGTCGACAGCAAAGGATATGAAGCAGCAGACCAAAATAAGGCGACAAGCTAAACCTCAAAGGCATTGTAATCATTGTGTCAGCGATGGACTTTGGACATGAAACATATTTAATGTGTGTATGTGAATTTGTGTTTATGTTTGTGTTTCTGGCGATACAAGAACGACGACATAATCATCATAAGTTGCCAACTCGAGAGTTATTTGCATATATTTGATCATTTACCTCATCTTCCATAATGCTGCTATCCGCATGCTGCACTCCATCCGATTTGGGGCGTCGATTGCGTTCCCTGCCATTCTGCATCCTTTCCGACTGGTTCTGTCTGCGACGTGTTGACGATTGCTGCTGCGACCTGCAAATGGCCAACAAGACAGGACAAAAAGAAACCAAATTAATGCCAAAGCCAAGGAAAGAAACAACTTTAAAATACTTTACAAACAGATAGCCTGCTAACACTTAATGCCGGAACTGGTTGTTTAGATTTGTTGTACTTGCTTCTTTTTTTTTTTTTTTTTGCTTGGTTGCAGTTGTTGTTGCCATTGCCGCTTGGCTGACAGCAAAATGTCAAATGCACAGGACTTTTAAATTTTCTAAGCCACGTGTTCCGACTGCACACAAAAGCACTTCGAGTGCCATTTTGGCCCTAGTTATCCAAATACATTTCCTCACGCCTCACTCCCCACTTCTGCTTTTTTGTGTTCTCCTTAAACTACATTGCATTTTTCACTCTGCAAAAATGATTTCCATTGTGTATGCTGATGGAAATTTAAATTCATATGCGAGTAGAAAATGTGGTATTTAAAAGAGGCACAGTATATTATAAAAGAGTAGAGTAGCTAGCTTTCACTTATATTGGAAGTATGCAATCGGAAACATTACTATTAAATATGTGAAGCTATTACAAATTACAAATTTCAATTGTCATTCAATTTAATTTACTTTTTTATTTAAAAATGTAGTCAACAAATATGTTTATATCCCTTACATATTTGAAATGTATGCGTTAATATTTTATATAGATATGAAGTCATTGTATAGATACAAAACCATAAATTACTAAGTTTACTCTGCTACCCTTAATCTCAGTAACCATAAAGTTACAGATATAAAAAAAAATCAATATACTGATTAGCTTAGCATTTAAACAACATAATCTCCAAAAATAAACTATTTTAATATGTATGAATATGCCTACAGGCATCGATTAAGTAGAGTTTCTCTCAGAGTCTGGTTTTTAGTTTATCTTTCAATTATTATTTCTCTTTGTGGAATTTATATTTGTGAAGCTTCATCATGCATAATTGAAGAATTGTTTGAATGTTGCAAGCTCAAGGAAAATTTAATTTTATTGAATTTATCTCCTAAAAATCATACAAATCAACATTTACATATTTCTGGGACTCAGAAAACAGTTATTTATGATACACAACCACGCTCACTGTCCACCCCTGTCTCCCCCCAACCCTTTCCTGTTCTACACTTTCCCCGCTTATGTAAACAGTATTTCGCCTGTGCGCTGAACAGCAAATAATAATAAACATTGAATAATTGTCAATATCGGAAAAGTATTAAATGCAGCCTAAAAACACAAAATATTCTTCAAAGAACTAAAAGTACAAATATGTAACCAATCGCCGATCCCCTCCTTCAACCCTTCACCAACAATTGCCGGCTGCTGCAACAAATCCACGTCACATATTACTATTTGCACATTTCGTTGCTGCCACAAAAAGTTGTGTTCGAAAATTTGCCACCACGTGAGTCTCAGCAAATATATTATTTGAGCTAACATTTAAAATGCGATTAAAAATGGCAATGCCGCCCCACACTGTGCCACTGCTGCCTGCTCATTCTGATAGCATGTAAATTTATGTATATATATATATGGGCATATATGGGGGCATTCATTTGAACCGCCTACCCCGAAAGCTTTGCAACACTTTGCAAAACATATTGATGATGCAGTTGTAAACCCAAAATGCCACTCTCTCTCGACTGAGTCTGTGTGGTTGTGTGTGTCGCTCTGTATCCGTGTGTGTGTGTGAGCTTGTGGCTTTGGCCAAAATGCATTTTGCTGTTGGCTGTTTGCTTTTAACCATTAAGCAGGTCGTGCGTCTATTCAACACACTTATACACACACAAACACACACACACACACACACACACATAGAATTGTTGTGTGCTTACAATTTTTGGCATTTTTAAGCTCGTGGCTCTAACCAAAACGAACACGTAACCCAAAATTGCAAAATAAACCGCACACGCGCGCTGAAAGTAAATATATATCAGCAGAAGAGGTGTGTGTGTGTGGGGGAGGTTCTGTCTAAGGGGTTAGGGAGGGTAAAGCCACTCAATAGACTTAAAGGTTCAAGTAGCTTAGACAGGGAATAGTTGCACAGCAACCAGCTGCCGAAACGAATACCAACCAAACAGAAACTACGTACATATTCGAGTATTCGAGTACTCGATGCCAAAATAAATAGGGAAGAATGCAGTTTACGGACCGTAATCGACTATCAAATGCTCTGATTCCCCATCGGAAAACAAACGCGTATTTATAAAATTCAAACTTATTAGCATTGGTTTAGCTGTAGAAATAGAATTGGATTGTTCTGATTGATTGAATTGCGACCGAAACGATAACGAAATTTTCAGATATTCCAAACTGTTAAGCATATTACGTTTCCAATCCAACGGAATGGAAACTCATTTAACAATGTCTATTTTCAAATGCGTGTTTTATTATTCTTTTCAGAAAAATTGCTAACTTGTACGGCAACCCGGAATACAAAGTTGTTTGAGCTACATTTCTGGCTTTGTTCGAGTGGCTTTTAAAGTATTTTCATGAATTTCAAAAAAATCCATATGGTAGAAACTGGTGAAGTATGTGGAAAAATATTTGCTTGGGGTATTTAATTGCAAAATTGGTGAAACATATATGTTGCATGGATTGGGATTAGTTAAGATGCCTGACCACAAAAACATGCACAAATGATATTTCCAAGCACAATAAATGTTTAAATAAAAGATGTATATAAAAAAACCAAATACAAAATACTTCCTTATCATATTGATTTCGCAAACAATAAGAATAATAATAATAGTTATAATTAATACAACAATTTACTTCTAAAATAATTATTTTGATGGAAATAAATGGCTTGAGTCTATAGTAATTTAAATTAAGTGTTCAGGCAAGGAGAGCATTCAAGATGGAAGTGTTCATGTAAATAGCTTTATTTATTTATTATGTCAATACTCCCCATTTAAATGCTGTCCCATTCACTCTTGAACTAAGCCCACTACAAGTTTGGCAAGGGAGTTGCGGGGCCGGGAACGGGTAATGCTACTGAATGGGAAAGGCAATCATTGCTGAGGTAAAACACATTTAAGTAACCATGAAATTTACTTAGAATTTGTTGCTATTGTTTTTTCATTTCGCTCCTCTTCACTGCCATAGAATTGTAGTGCTAGGCAAGTACAAATAAATGTGCAGAGGTGTGTGGCATGCAACACTTAGAAGGCGATAACACGCATACGCACTGTTGAGCGTCGAGTGGGGCGGGAGTGGAGCGAAAGGTAGCGTCAAGTGTTCGCCATTTGGGGGAACGGGGTCTGGGAAATGCGAAACAGTGCACAGATAACGACAAGACAGGAAACAAGCGCATAACTGACCAGGCAGCATTTAGCACTCAAGCACTGCGAAGGGGCAGCGCATATTGTATACGACATGGTGCGCCACAAGAGGAAGCAGCAGACAGATAAGCAAGACAAGGCTAAATGGTCATAGTCATTGCCAAAGGAGCCCCGACAGCAACCGAACTACAAATGGACAAGTCTTAATGCAATCTTAAACTATTTAAGTTCTGCAGCTTTTGGGCAACTCAGCTAAAGCTGAAATAGAAACATACCGAAGTGAATTTGAAGGCGAATCAATTACATTAAAATTGCATTATTAAAAAAAAACCCAACCAGGGATCCTTTAATGCAAATGTTTAATAAAAATGCTTAATGCAACACATTCTAACAAAATAATTTAAAAATTATAATAATTATTGTGGTATATATTGATAGCTGTTGCAATCAAAACACTGCAGATAAAAGATTAAATCAAATTTAAGCTATATAATTTAAAGGAAATTTAAGGAATATGATTTTTTCAATTTGTGAATTCATGAGGGATAGGCGGCTGAACAATGTTTTGTGGGTCAGCTTACGTTAAGGTATTTCAACACTTCAACTCGTCGCATAATATAATTTGATTTTTATAATAATTTTTTTCTTAATTGAGGTTTCATATTGTTATACTTATAACCAATTGTCCTGAACAGAATCTAGCTGATCAGATAAATCCTATAATTAAATTGTAGTTTTAAAACAGGGCAAGTATCAGAAATATATCGTACTTCTGCTTGCACTAAATGCATAAGTTATAAATGCCTGCAAGTGTTTTAAGTCTGTAGCACCCAGAACATAAATGTTACTTTACCTTACTTTACTCGTCATAAATGGTAAGAAATGGCGTAATAAAGTTGTATGAATATAATAATAAAAAATGCCAGCTTCTGCCTTTGATAAACATTTGACCAGTTTGTAATCCATTTTTAATGGGCACTAAGGGGAATAAGCCGTTATTTTAAGACTTACAAACCTTTTATCCATTACATGCCACACAAAGTTGGTGCCACAAGAAAACTTAATATTTCATGGAATAATAGCACTCAAGTCAGTAAAATATTAACACCAATAGCTGATTAGTTTGGTCAAGTTATATGTGAATTTGAGGACTATTAAGTAATGCACATAAACAAGAATGTTTTAAATTCAAAACTTAATATACATTTAGATCGTAGAGTGATGATCAGAGAATATAGAAGGCTCTGCTCTAAGTAATTAGTAATTATTTACATTAAATTTTGTCATTAATGTAATATGCTTTATGCTTCAACTACTAAAGCTTTAAAGAGTTCAGATTATATTTATTAGCATATCAAGATTTAGAAAAAGTGTATACTTAAAACGATACGTGTATATTATATTCATATCTATTTGTATTTAAAATTTCGTTACTTAAAACAAGATTATGAAAACATTTACAAAACACATACATCGTTTTACTAAAAGCGATTTGTTTATATTTAATTTACTTAAGCATTTCCTTTCTCTATATATATTCTAGTTATATCTATACATATTTCTGTCCATATTGTCACATACATACTATATTTAACTCCTATGTGAAAATGTGTTCTTTTTTTCACTGCTTTTAGCTGCGCTTTTGCCTAATTAGTTCTCATATTTTCCCAATTTCTATGCCACTCTTTCAAAGTAAAAAGTTGAAAGGGAAAAGTTTTTTGTTTTGGGCATAGGGTCAGAAAAGTGACTGTCGTTACTTACCCATTAGGGCCGCCATCAGGGCCGCCCATTGCTGCCGCTCCACCCGCTGTGGCACCACTCGTTGGTGACGTCATGTCCGCTGAGGTAAGTGCCTCCGTGCCGCTGCGTTCACGTACCAAGCGATCTAAAGATAAGCGATAGGGAAAACAGTTTAAGAGTTGGGTTAACATTTTCAAAAATTTATGCTGATGAGAACTGCACCTGATTCCTGGCGTTCCAGCTCCTCGGCCTGCTGTCCGGGCTTCGCCTTGACCTCAATGTGAATCTCTGCGGAGCTGAGTCCGGCATGACAGGAATAGATGCCCGCATCGCGGAACGTGATATCCAGGATGCGAAGTGCACCCTTCTTGGACACCTTAAACTTGCGCGAACGCACTAGTGGCTTGTGATCCTTGCTCCACTTGATCTTGGTGCGATTGTAGCGTTTAACGGGACACTTGATTTTCACCTGGGTGCCAAAGAAAACAACACCAGCTCCGCCCACTTTCAATGTAATCTTTGTCTTCTTTGGATCGTGCTGAATGTGCGTCGAGTTACTGATTTGAATGACGGGCTTGGGATCCTCGGGCGGACATGGTTTCACATTGCACGGTTTCTTATCTGGCGGCTTGACGCTGGGACACATCGATTCGGGTCGCTCAATCTTATGCTCCTGGGCCATTATCTGTTTGCATTCCACTTTGCGATCCTTGATGCCATATCCGCAGGTATGGGAGCACTTTGACCACTCACCCACCTCCCAGCGCACCGGGCAGTCGAGCACATTGCAGTATTGCCTGTCGGCCGGCGGTGGTTGGGGACACATGCTGTTGGGCACCACCATAGTGTTCTCGCCGCCGCGCGTTACCTCATGGATGCACTGTACTTCGCGTGTCTTGATGCCAATGCCGCAGCTCTTCGAGCAGGGCGTATAATCCGAGTAGTTCCAGCGCGGCGGACATGGTCGATCGTTGCAGGTGCGCACCCGCGCCTCCGGCTTGGTCTCCTGCGAGCAGAGGAAGGGGGAGACAACCCGACCATTGTCCTCCCGCACACAATTGATGATCAGCTCCTCTACGCCGCCCAAACAGGATGCACTGCACGAGGTGTAGCCCTGTTCGCGCCACACATACGTCTTGCCCGGCTCGGAGACGCCCACCTTGATGGAGTCACGGGGAAACTGATCGTCATAGCCATGCGAGGGCAGCATGCAGGGATCCTCCACGCACCGCTCAACCTCATCGTGTGGCTTGTTGCCCTCGCACAGTGTGTCATTCACAGTGGCCACTGTGCGTGAGTATTCCAGAAAGATTTTACACTTATGAGCACGTCGTCTAATGCCCTCGCCGCAGGTAACGCTGCAGGATGACCAATCTGTGTCCTTGATGAAGCTACAGAAGAAATAAAAGGATGATAAACAAAATTGTTATAAATTGAATATATTTAAGAGTATGTCTTAGATAAAAGAATAGTATAAAAACCATAATGAACACTTATGTTCCAAAATCTGAAATTCTAGAAACACTTGGTTTATATTCAAGTATTTATTATTAATTTATTTTTATAATGAAAGCCACGATACTTATGTAAACTTTTATAATTAAGGGTCTCTTAATAATAATAATGGTCTTTGATATTTGTTATTTCAAAAGATAAATATGAATTAATACAAAATAAAATTTAACTATTGACTATGAGTAACAATAAATATATGTAAAGAAATATAATCAACATATTTTATGTTTTAGACTGCAATGTTCTGAATTATTGAAACAAAATACAAATAAATATAAATCATATTTAACTATGAGCTATGAGCTAACATCAGAACACATATAGAAATATAAACAACACAATTTAAATCTCAGACTGCAATGCTGTGTTTTATTGAAACTAAAACCATAAAGTTGAGCTTTATGTTTGGCTAACAAATAGCTGAGCACAGCACATAAAAGGAGGCAACTACAACAACCTAAACTCTGAACCGTATTTCCTCTCCTTTCTCTTTCTCTTTCTCTTTCTCACTCTCGTTACTTGACAGCTACACAAATGTGATGCAACAATAGTCAACGGCCACGTTTTACACATTGTATTTCATTTCATGCCACGCAGCATTCGAATCAAATTTATTAAGCCGCCCGCTGCCAGAGACCCCAACAACTGTGTTCTATGACTTGTTTGCCGACACTCATCGCCAATAGATATATCCCGAGGGCGTGAAAGTGTCTGAGAAGGATAGTAAAGACTTGCAAAATGTAGAAATATTAAATAAATGCATAATATGTATATATTTGTATACAAAATGTAATTAACAAATTAGTATAAATTAGTTACATTATCTGAAATCTTAAAAGCCATTATAACAACTTAAATATAATAATTTATTAACATTTTCTCAATGGCTTGTAATAATCTCATTATTATGGTACTAATATAGACAGTTTGTCTTCAAATATAGCACTCACAGCTGCTGCATACAGTTTAATCATATTAAGCTAAAGCTTTAAAGTTTGTATTCAGTTTTCATTAGATTCAGCTATAATTTGGTACACATATATTTTAGCCCAAATTACATTTTAATACCAATTAATAATTTATCGTATATTTACGTATATTTACATTTTAAATTTGAGTTTAATCACGCCTTTTCAACAATAAATCTTTTTATTTATAATATATTTATTTGCAAACTAATTTTATTCATTATGCATTAAAAATAGATAATAGAAATTTCACTACAAAGAAGACGCAGTATCCTAGGAAAGATAGAAGTCCTCATCCCGATCTCTCTCGTAGGTCTAATTATCTAACTAATATACTATAAAAAATGTTAGCAATTCAATTATACATCGCATAACAAACACTAAAGTTACTCAATAAACGAATAACCATAAATAACTAGTTACAGGGTATTTCTACAGTTAGCCTGCAAACAATTGCAGGAGACATGGAACTTATTCAACAGCTATATATTATTGTTGGTGTTGGGCATTGTTTGTTGGCCGAAGTGGTTTTTATGACCGCATTGACAGTCAATAGAAGAGCCTGGCACACACAGCACATAGTTTTCTGACCCCTCAGTAGCAGCAGCAGCAGCAGCAGCAGGAGTGGCAGGCCACAGCAAAGAGCTTCTCCTCCTCCTCCTCTTCCTGCTCTTCCTGCTCCTTCCACAACGCTGACAAATTTCTCTGCTTGTCGTCACTTATTGATTTGTAGTCAAATTGCAGCCACAGAAAATCATGCGAATTAAAGTGGCGCCAGTGCTAAAGCAGCAGCCTCGAAAAGATCTTTGAAGTAGGTCGCTTGCTTGATTTCATAACCGGCGCCTGACAGTGTTCCTCATACGCCGCGTAGGCCAAATGGCAACCCAAAACGTTTGGAAGTTTTGTTTGCGCTCTTGTTGTTATTGCTATTGTTGGGGATGCCGTTGTCTTTTTTTGTCCGTTCGTTTGTTTGTTCGTCTGGCGATTCGCCAGCGCATCTCACATCTCCTTGTGCCGCACACATACAGAGAGGCCAAGGTTTTTTGGCGGCACCAAGACGCGACTTTATGGCGGCAGGCGACAGTCGACAGGCCGCCAATAGTTTCAGTTTAGTGCCCAGCAGATACTATCTATCGTATCTATACTCTATATACAAATAAGTTGAATTGCCCTCTCAGCAAAATATATAATAAAAAAGCGGCAGTTTGTTTTTTTAACTTCCCCCCCCATTATGACTTTGAGATGTGCTCGGTCTGGACTTGGGTCAATGCACGACACATTGTGGACCGAAAAAGAGGCGTCAAATCTTGCTACGGGCAATTTGTCAATATTTATGGAGCTAAGAGATTTATTGATAATGTCAGGTGAATCAACAAAGGCTCACGAAATGTTTGAATAGTCTACAGTCAAATTTTAAGCATTAAATTTCTATAAATTTCTTTTATGGAGTACGTCTGCTGAATTCTAAACATTTTTAGCTCTGTTAACACAAAACAAAAATCGCACGTTTTTGTAGTAGTCAAAATTAAACTCCCACGAAGAGAATAAATTGAATTGAAAACTGAAAAGAAAATTATTGCTCTAAATATTGATTTATACATTGTATGCCTAGAAAAAGTATTTCAATTGAAATGCATTAAATAAATAAAATTATAAATCCATAAAATAATGTCGTGGGAAATGATTAGCGGATAGGCTATTGCATGCCAAGATGTGTCCCCATTTAATATATACATTAGCCAAGCACCAATTACAACTAATTTCACATTAAAGTTTGCTGCTCTGCTATACTAAATACTATATTGATTGCACAGCTGATAAGACGATAGAGCTTGTCATTTCCTGCCATGTACACGACTTACGACATTAGTTAGACTGCATAAATATGTCAGCCATCATTTCTCAGAAATTCCTAAGTAGTACCGGATATATACTCAAGTCGATTGAGTACTTAAGTTCGGTACGCCTCCCAACTAGGCTACATCCCAAGTCGCTCATGTTTACATTGACTAATTTTCTTAAGTACAACACAGCCATATAAATAACAACCAACAAAACAAAAAATTACTTTTACATGACATAGTTTAAATACTCTTTAATTTAAAAATCGTGAGTGTTCTAATATCCGGTAAAATTCTATTTACATTAAGAAAGCAGCTCTTTATATTATAAGAAATTTAAATTGGTTTAAAAAAAAGTTTTCCTATAAGCTATAAAAACTAATAACTTTCATATAACCTATGAGAGTCATATTATATAGTGTTAGATTTCTATGTTAATTTTTGTGATAAATATTTTGTTTTAGTTATACATAAATATAGTCTATCAATTGATATATATATATATATATAGCTGGAGAGCTTAGATTAAAAACAGACCTACTCATCTAATTATCCTGATCAAGACTGACTATTAACTAAAAGCGTTGCACATACTTTAGCAAAACTGAAATACCCTCTATCAAGGATAGAGATAGACAGAGAGAGAGTAAGAGAGAGAGAGAGAGAGAGCGCTGAACAGTCAGAGTTGTAATTTATTATTTGGTAAACTACACTCAGTATTCCCCACATACCAATTAACAGTTAAAAGCATTTGATTTAGCTAGCTCCAAGCTCGTAGCGACTTTATTAGATGTTCCCATACTCGGCTATATCGCATTGGCTAATTAAAGTGTTGGTTTATATTCACTGGCGCAAACACAACTGCTCCACACAACGAGTAAATTGGACAGCTTATCGCGGCTACTTTATCGCTTTCCAATAAACATCAACAAAGCAGCGAGAAAGCAGCGATGGCAGCACTTTAATTGTCATTAGGCGTACTTTACTGTACTTACAAGCTACTCGAGCAGTTTCGTGTTCTTAATGATGATGATGATGATGATGTCGTTGTCGATAGCCTTAATTTTAGGTGTCGACACGGCTCAAGGACATTATGAGGAGGACACACAGGAGACGACGTGGCAATAGTCAATCTTGTCTGTGTATAAGTGTGTGTGTGTGTTTGTGTGTTTGTGTGTATGCATATGCATGCGTGTTTGTTCTGCTTGTAAGTTCTTGTAAGCCAAGTGCTTAAGCTGAAGTCATGAGAAGAAGGCCCAAAGCAAAGCTCCAAAGCGAAATGCAATACAAAGTGGTAGGAGGAAGTCTTCACTCGTACTTGGGCTACAGTTGAATTATGTCAAGCGAATCCTGGCTGGAGTTCTGAGTCGGAGTCTGAGTAATGATGGATTGTTAACCACTTAGGCAGCCAGACGCATGCGAGCAGTGCCTTGGCCGGATTCACAAAAGACTGGCTAAGACAACGTAAGTCTCAAAACACTAACATTTAATAACATAAGTTAATATTGGAGTTATAAGTATCCTTATAAAATAAACACCCTGTTTTTTTTTCAATTCAGAACGCACATTTCAAGACACAACTAGTCCGAATTTTAGACAGCCTTATCTTGTCAAAACTAAGCCGATTTTCAAAGGCTAAGTCAAACAAATTTGAAAGTTTCCCAAAGCTTTGGCTAATTCACACTGGGTTTTTATGTTTAGATGTGATTATAGAACTCTCATAGTAAAGGATTTGCTCATTAAAATTTGTTTTTTACGGTCTGCCAAACAGCTCAAGCCAGTTGACCCAAGCTGTTTCCTTTCTAACTGGGGCAAACTTACTTGATACTCACCTGACATTTTAATTAAATCTTGCAATAAATAAGTATATAAGCATAAATAATAAATTGAATTAGCCATGCTCAAGAGACGCACCTGGGATCCAGTGATGGCACATCTGTGCCGCCACTTGCACCTGTTCGGGCATTATTGTGATTCTTGCTGGAGCTGCCACTCATCAGACGCATGGTGCGTGGCTCCTCCGGCGTCTCGTGATGCAATCGACTCTGGGTATGATGAGCATAGCGTAGTGGTTGATCGGCATAGGAGAGGCCCTCGCCATCGTCCGTATCCTGACCCGATTCCATGTCATCCACATCCTCAACCTGTTCATCTGCATCCTCATCATCATCGTCCTCATCCAGATCCGAGCTGTCCATGTGTCGTTCGGACCGCTATAAATGCGAATTAATTGAGATTATTTAGTTCTTTTGGGGTTGGGTTTGCCGAAAAAAAAGAAAAGAAAAACGCTTACCTCATTCAGGGAGCGACTGCTGCCAACAATGATGGTGCCGCCGCCCTTATTCTGACTGCCACCCGATCCGCCGCCGCCGCCGCCGCCATCACAGTGAATACCCGTCGAACACTGCTGCATGCTACCCGGCTTGGTTAGTGGATCACATTTGGCACTCAGGCTGCCATCCGTCGATTTGCATTCCACGCCGCGCATCTGGATGCCCTGCCCGCACGAAACGGAGCACTGTGGACCAGAAAGACAGAGATTGGGATGGGGGTAGCATTAACATCCATAAGCATTATAAATTATTGCAATATGTTTCACTGAGGGCCGCAATAAAAATTCATTTGTTTGCACAAAAGCTGACGAGCTGGCACAAAAACCGAGCGATGACGAACTGCTGTCGTGAAAGCAAAAGTGGCCATTTGGCCCACCTCCCTTTTTGGGGGAAGGTTGGCAGCACTGCATGGGCTTGGTCAGGCGAGTAAGTTCTACACGCTACCCCCTTTCCATTCACCAAGCCCCTCAGTTCAATTCTTTGTGCACGCGCTCACGCATATAAATGCAAATTTTCATATTGTTTGCGTTTTGTCAGTCGCCGGTTAAACGCGGCGTATGTGTAACGTAACGTAACGCAACGTTTTCAAGTGGCTTAACTCATTGTTTATCTACAACCCCTAACAACCTCCCCACTTTTATGCATCTACTACCCCCTGCAGCCTCCTGCAACCTCCTTTTGTTACATTTCATCTCATTTTAATGGCGCTTAATTTTGTGGCATATATGATGTGCATACTTATTTTATTAATGTGCAGAAACATTAAATGTGTTTTATAATAGGCTCTCTGGCTGGTTGGTTAGCCGGTCGAATGCCCTTCCAACATGATATTATGAATTAAATACGAAAAATGTAACTTTTGGTATTATATTTAAATATTCTTGATTAGCATTAATATGTAAAATGGCGAGAAATGAGTTTACTGAAGCAGAATTAGTTTGTCATAAGTGACAAGTTCTTATAGAACATCATCAGTTCCAATAGAAGATATTCGTTCCGCTGCCCTACAACAGCAAGGGTATTTCTATCGTCGGCTTTCGATAACTCGTCTTTTATTTACGATTTCATCTCGAGAATACTCGTCCTGTTTGCCATTAACATGCAAGTCATTAAATTTTTTTGCAAACTTTTAATTCTTGTTTCTCTTTTTGTTAGTTGATAAAGTTCTTAATAGGCTGAATTTGAGCTCATTATTTTCAAACATTGTAATCCACTTTGAATTAAAACCTATAAAAGTCACTTTGGCTTACGTCAAGCTTACTTGTGGCAGGGAATACACATGAAACCAGCTAGGCAGGCTCTACTATCCTATATGCCCCTAACGTACGTAAAAAAAAATAAAATTAAAAAAAAAAACACAGAACAAAAGGCTAACAATGTTGACCAACATTCAGCGAAAATGAAAACAAATAAAATCCAAACTCTAGACAATTCAATTAAGCAACACATAAACTTGACACCCCTGGCATGTGCAACAACCCCTAAACCAGCCCCTAAGTTTACACCACACACAATATATATATATATACATACATATATATACATTTGTATATATGTGAAGAAATCGAGTCGCACATTAATAAACTTGCACTTTAAATGAACAGCAGCGAAATGGACTCGATACGACGGAAATGTTGGGTGTAAATAGCGTATGCTTGTAGAGGACACACAGGAGGGGGAGAAAGGGGTACGGAGGTACTTGTGGCCAGACAAACTTAAGCAGCAGCTACCACCGGCAAGTTGATTAAGTTGAACGGCTATAACCGGGAAGAGGCTTCATTCAGTCTTGAGTCTAGCGGCTTATTACGAGCCAGCAAGCAAAGTAAATTGCAAAAAACACCACAACGAAAACACCGTAAAAACTAACGATCCGAAACTTAAATGCTCTCTGAGTTAATTCTATATATATTCTCTATTTAAATATGTATTAGAATATATGCACATATACAACTTTAATGTACGTACTTGAAGATAAAACTAAAGCGTCAAAACTTAAATGTTCTTTAAGTAAAGTATTTGTCCTAATTTATACATATTTGAAAGTATAAATTTGCATTAATATTAACTAACTTGAAAACACTTGAGCTGGATCCAGCTTAATACATATTTAAATTGTAAAAAGAGGTAACCAAACACAAAACAAAATCATACAACTTTAATATGCTAGACAAGTCCTCTTTGAATTTCGATGGCCATCGAGTATTTCAAATAAGTTCACCCTTTCTGATTTTTGAGGCAACTTTATGGGTCGTGTTTCCTCTCAAAATTGAGGAAATCGAAAAGATTTTGGATTAAGTACTTTTACACAATTTTAATATTAAGCTAATGATAATTTGAAGAAATTTGTGAAGAAGTAAAGTGAAGAATGTAATATATAAGTTAATTTATGTATAATAAGTATTTCACATGGGCACTTTTCTGTTTGTATTGAGAATGCTTTCTGAAGTCGAACATAATAATAAGATCCATAGCCCTAAACAACTCTTGCTTTTATTATTTATTATTATTGGTGGGACTTATGCACTGCGATAATTCTTCCATCATTTTTGATAATTCTTTCCGATTTTTGCACGAATTCAATAATTTTACCAGTCAAGAGACCATCTAAGTCTGCGCTTACCTACAGATACTGCTTGCTTAAACTTTGTTAATTAAAAAATGATTAAGCTTAAGAAATGGGTTATCTGTTCATCTTCTAAGCTTGCAGTTTATTCGTAAGATAATGCCAGATATTCAGTATGCCTAGGGTCAACTAATGTACAATTTGATATGTGATATGTTTTAGACTTATATTTCATTCATAGATTGGGTCAACTAATGTACCCTAGTTCCTCTGTTAGGGCATATGAAACTAGAAGCCGTCTGAACATTTAGCTAAGTATACACGGTGGCCAGACACGGCCTCTCATCATCATCTCGGTCCCGTCTTGGTCTCCATCTCCGTCTCAGTCTGCGTCTTCAACCACGTGATGTCTACGACTTGAGTTCAGTTCAGGTCTGCGTTGTGCCGGCAAAAAGTGCATGATTATTACACGAGTTGTTGTTGTTCTTGTTTTGGCTGTTGTTGTTGTTGTTGTTCTTGTTGTTACAGTACTTACACCGGTCCAGTCCTCCACCTCCCAGTGCGGACACTCCTCAATAATGCAGGTCTCCTGTGTTGGCGGCTTCGGAGTGCGGCACATAATATCTGCAACCTGTTACCAATAGAGGCAAGACACAAAAAGATGGAATGGAAAAAGAAGAGTGTGTGAAACATGGTTATAATAATATGTCTGCTCAGTGTGTATGGACGTGTATATTGCTGTTGAGTCGACTCGCCACTTTTTATGCAAAATTATCAGCGTTTAAGAGTGGGCGGCACTTTGGTAATAGCCACTTGCATTCCAACACTTTTCGTATATTCTGACCATAGCAACATGGCAACTTGTGCCTTTCATTTTCGCTTACCCTCGTTTTGATGCCGTTGGTCTCCTCGGCGCAGACAACCATCCGTTCACGGTAACCGTGCCCACAGAGGCGACTGCAAGTGCTCCAATCGTCGGTTATCCAACTGCGGAAGAGGTGGACAAGTGTGTTAGAGTATCCTACAACTATGGCATAGAGTGTAGTAGACTGCCACTTGCGCGGGCGTTTTTTATTTTCATTTTTTTTGTTTTTTGTTTGAATTAGTTCAACTAAATTGTTTCGAAAACAAGTTGCCAGCTGACCGCCTCTGCGGTTAAGCTATAAAATAAAAAAAAAAGTCGAAAAAAAAGGAAGAGAGAGCAAAAAACAGCAAAAAAAAACGTCGACGCCCTCTATTTGATATAATGTTAGACACTAAAGTGCATGGCGCTTAATGCAGACAAATTATATAGTTGGCTGAATCATTTGCAGGTCGTGAAGTGGGGGAATGGGGCAAACAAAGATTGAGTTGTCTGTAAATGAAGACAATTTGCCATGAGATATTTGAAACAATTTACATAGGTTACTACACAAATTATTCTCTCTTGGATGGTGAATCTAAGAGAATCATTTTCCATTTTATTACCAGCTTGGTTAACTTCAATGTATACAGTTATTCATTCCCCATTAAATTCTCAAATTGTTCTGAAGTAATCTAATTTAAATATAATACTATGCAAATACCGAACGAACTGTTTGTGTACTAGATTTGAATAAACAAATGAAAATAAATGTAATTATCTAGTTACGCCAAGAGGAATGAACATTTATTTATGTTTACAAATGAAAAGGCTGTCAAAATTGTAATAATGTATGTTTGTCTAAAATTGTTTTTTAACTCTGTGCATATTCACCTAGATTTTATATCTACTAAAACTCTAGTTGTAATCCAAAAGAATATTTAAATTGTAAAATTATTTTCAGCTACAGTGAATATTTGAAAATATTTTATAAATTGACAACTAATTTTCTGCTATTACTTAAATATACTTAATTTTTATATTTATATTTGTTAGATAAATTATAACTTAAATTATTTTAAAAGCCAATACACATTGAAAATATCTTAAACAAATTCCACACTGCACAGGAAGCATTAAAAATATTATACCTTATAGAATTTTAATTGTTTCTTAATAATAGAAGCTTTAAGTTTGAAATCCCATCAGTTAAACTAATATTGCTTATTACATACTCAATTAAACTAGCACCTCACATGTCTAGACTGCATTGGCAATCCTTTGCTATCTCGACTATCTTGCGCTATTTGGCAGCTCTGGCAATTGCTCTCGTACAAAGAAGCTCAATTGCATTGCTCATGCATAACTAACAACTATCATAAGTCTCTGGCAAACACACAATGCTATCTTTGGCAGCGAGACAGAGCCCCAGCTAGCTATTAGCAGATCCCCAATGCTGCAGTAAGCGCTGCCAGAAACAGAAACCTCAAGACAGCCAAAATCACGGCCAATAATTGATGTCCCAAACGACGGAGAAGGCGGCCCAAAGCCGCGAACAGCAATAAGGAGTCGGAATGCCAGAGAGCAACATAGACGAGCAAAAACGAAGCAACTAAGCAGTGCTCGACTGGATAATGCCCTGTAATATCTGATTGCTGATCTAAACTTCATTTTTATAATTTTCAAAAGAAGAAATTTCACATATTTATGGTTGTATAACAAATTTATTAGCTAATGGTATTCAAAACCTATATACCAAATAAAGTTATTGTAACTTAAATATTCTCTCAGCTGAATCGCAGTTTTCAACTTTAAGCACAGATTGAGAAGGCAAAAACTTGAGATATTTGTAGTTGAACATGAAATTTCTTAGCTTATGTTATTCGAAGCCTTTATACCAGAGTTAATCTTATTGCTACAATCTTTTAGCTGACAGTAGGCTTGACAACAGATTCGATTATTTAACATAATATTTTTAGCTAATACAAAAATAACTTAATAAAAAGTTTGCAAAAATAATACCTTGCTTATTATTTAAAAAATTAAGTTTTATTATTAACTATACAGCTCAATAATAGTTTAATGATCAGAAGTTACTAGGGACTTTGACTATCCCCATTGAGACACAGATTTATTAGTACGATATATCTATAATTTATTTTGTATTTATATTGTCAACTGTTTGCCTTTTCGCTTTTCTATAGACTTCTGACACCTTCTACACTCTACCCATTGAACAGGGTATTCAAATGGAAAATCAACAGCAACAATGGACAACCGCACTGAACGGAGATTAGAATTTGAGGCGCTGGGCGCGAGGCACTCGCAAAATTGGTGTAAACTTTCGGTTCGGTTTTCGAAAATGTCACAAAACGATAAATAAAGAGCGGGTAGGGGGTAAACTGAAAAGACAACCGAGAAGCAGCCCGGAGCATGGAGCACGGAGCACGGAGCACAGAGCCAGGCATACTGAACGTAACCTACACCGTTGCAGAGACAAACAGAGACACAGACTGGGCGATAATAGAGCCGGGGTAGGCAATCAAAACGTGCGCACGATAACCAACGCCATTTAAATTGATAGCTGGACAGGTGGACTCTGGCTAGGTGGAGGATGGAAGAGGAGGAGGAGGATGGAGGGTATGGGGATTGTGGCATTGAAGGCAGAGTAGCAGAGTAGCTTAGGGAGTTTGGGCAACTGTCAGAGCTGTACTTACCGCGGCGGACAGCTGTGTGTATTACATGGCACCACCGATGGCTCCGGGTGATTAGCAACGCTGCAGAGCGTCTCATCGACATCAGCGCCAGTTAGACGATTCCTGCATATAGGACGAGACATTTTGTAACCTAAGGCGTAAAAGAAATGGCAGAGAGAAAAATATAAAAAGAAAGACAGAAAGAGAATGTTAGTCGACTGGTAAAAGGCTAAAATTCGAAATGGCATATTGCAGCCAGACAACCGTTGCTGCCATTGCATTTTAAAATCAATAAATGTCTGAAACGGCTTTCAGTGGGTTGGGTGGGTTTTGTCGTGCAACTTTAATGTCACTTAGGCACTTAAGACAGTCACGGAAACGGTAGCACAAAGTTTAATGGGGCTTTTTCCCTTGTCCCCTTGTGGCCAAACGGAAACTTTTGGCCCAAAAGAATATTTAAATATATTTTATGAAAATGCAAGAGAAGTTTTCATTCTTTTCACCAAATAAGTATCTTTCTATAAGAAGATAATTAATATATACTATAGTATATATATTTTTTCTTATCCCATAAATATTATGCAACATTTCTTAAAACATTTATTAAAATAGTTATCTTAAAAGTTCTTAAAGATATTTATTGAATTAATTTGGAGAACATTTTTATGTAAGTTATTTTAATACGTTTTTCAATTAAAAAACTGAAATTATTATAAAGTAATTAAAATATGATCCCAGTTGATTTCTAGTCTCTTTCAAAGTTTGTATTCTATTCTCTTTATACAAATGTATTCATCAAATATGCTTTGTTCTATGAAGAAACTATTATTGCCAAGTCAAATAATTAATTTGCTGGTTATCGAAATTGCCACTAGTTGCCACAAATAACTTCAAATACTTTTTAAGTCGTGTTTAATTTGAAAATCATTGCAGTCAAAAGCAGGCGTCTTTATAATTTAATTTGAAAATCATTCCAGTCAAAAGCAGATGTCTTAAAGTTAGTAATTGTAAGCGAAGTTTCTGCAATTTAATGGGTTAACATTTGCAAACAGATGCGAAATTTGCAGCTAAGTGTAATAAGTTGGGCTGGGTTGTGGGTTCTCTTCTTGATGCGGCGTCTCAAACAGAGGCACGTCCGGAAATTGAAAGAACGAGTACAGAAGCAGCAGAAAGAAGCTGAGAGACTTGGAGTAGGTGAACAGTAAAGGTGGCTGGAGGTGGTTATGACAGCAAAAATTGTCGCACAATGCATAATGCCATAACGATCTGTCAGTTTGAAAAATAGTTGGAAGCTGGTCGCTTTCTCTTGCATTCGATTCGATTGTAAATAGTCCCTTGGAGCACAGATGGTACGCCGATTTTCAGCTATTGAATTTCGTTTATAAGCTTCATTGTGTGCGCTCAGGCAACGTCATTGTTATCCTTATCCTTAGTTTAACCCACATCCCCCCCACTTGCCCCTCTAAACATCATCATAGACGTCAGCTGGCGCCGCTGCTGCTGCTTCTGCTTCTGCTGCTGCTTCTGCTGCGTATTCATGACACAATTGGCTTAAGGCAATTGGTAATATCCTCTCTTGGCATTTATGTCAATTGTTGTAACGCAAAAAGTCGACTTCATGTTCACGGCAACGAGAAGCACCGAGAGAGAGAGAGCGAGAGAGAGAGAGAGAGATAGGAGAGAGAGACAGATAAAGATACTGGCATGTGGCATGTGTTGCACAGCTTTTGGGCACTGCCACAGCTGGAGGCAAGGGGATCAATCGGGGGCTAACTGTGTGCAGCTTCATAGGGGTCCGATGAGTGGATTTATAAAGCTGACTGCACCCAGCATGTTGGCCATATCGAGCTCTGCGCAGCAATGGGGAGTCTCCCTGTCATTAATATTGATGATAATTTATATTGAAGCGGAAATGTTAATGCTCACTGCAGATTTCTTAGAAAATTGACATACTGCAGATGCAGTAGAATTGATGTGGGAACATGAATGAAAAATATTAGTTGCAGTCGTGACTGTTGCCATTTGCTTAATGCATACCAAATTAAGTAAAATCAAAATGAGAAATAGACAGATAGTAATGATAATAATAAGAGACTCTCATCTGCATTTCACAGTCTGTGGTCAACAAGTCTAAGTTCGAAATTTAAACAGATAATAAATTATTTAAAAATGTTGTCAAAATGAGTCTTTTTTCTGAAAATTAGTCACTTAGTTTTGAAACTATCTAGATGAAAGCCTGTATTTATACAGATTGTTGATTAATCATACAGCTAAAGAAACTCACCAGCTTTAATAGTTACAATCAGTTAATTCTTAAACTTCAAGTCAAATTTAAAACACATGAATTTCACTCAGATCAACAAGGATACGTATCCCTCGGCTTGATTAAGATAATCTCTAATCTTTTTTCTATTTTTTTGAAGACTTGATAACTTAGCAAAGTCTTAAAATAAAGAGAAATTATGCGCAGGAGGTTGGCTATCGAAGCAAAGTATTTTTGTAACGCTCTACTATAGAGCAATCTGATCTATTAATAACTATATTCCATAAATATTCTATCTTTAAATACACACAATTTAGATTTAATCATACCCTGCTACATTCTCATAGTCAATTAACCGCCTTTAACTTCTTTGTTAAGTGTGTAGAACCTAAATAGGCCTCCACAAAAATTACGACCAATTGGCCAAGGCAATTGAGTCCGGTTCCGCAGCTGAGTTCACAGCTAGCCACATATCTAGCCTAGATATAAACGATCATTAAGTGCCTGCCATTTGGTATAACTGGCACAGTTTTCCATTAAGCACACAAATAAAAAAGAGAAATGAAAGAATATCCAACTAAGTTGGATATCAATTGGAGCGGTGTCACGTAGCCAGCCAGCTAAATGCACTTAGTGGAAGTGCAGCAAGGTATACGAGATATGTATGTAGAGTGCGACATAATTGACCAACTAAAGTGTATGCAACTATCTGTCAATAGGTGAGTAAAATAAATGTTCATGTCAAGGCCAGGACACGGGTGTCCTGCAGGAGTGTAGAGCAAAAACATGAGACATAAACATTGACATTAGTTTGATGTTTTGGAACGTTAATTTCGATGGTCCCCGAGGACAGAGTACAAGGCGACTTGCAGTTGACATTTAAGTGACATGTGAGGCGAACAAACGCTGAAATGTAATTAAAGTGGGGAAGAATGATGGCCGAGAGGGGGGTGCATGTGGGAGCAACACCCACAAAATTGAAGGTACCTAAACGATATTGCAATTAAAATTGAAAAACAAATTGATTTTGCCATTTGCAAGAGACGGGCCACGATAATGACTAAGTAAACCAGCAGTACTCTGGTATTGTCGGAAATTAACAAGTTCCGCCTCTGCGGCCATCTTGTTGTTGGCGTTGCTTTTGCCACCACCCCCACCCCTGACACTGCCCCGCTGTCGTGCACCAAACAAAAAAACTGACATTTATCAAGCGGCAAACCGATTATTTCCGTTTGGCATTTTTGACGGCCTAATGGCCGAAAAAGCAAGCGCCAAGTTGATTAAAAATGCATGGGGCCACAAAAATATGAGAGTGTTGCCCCAAAGTTTGTTCTGCTAGTCCACAGAAAATAGACAGGCATTGGCTGGGGTATGGATATGGGGCATGTGGAGTGTGGAGTGTGGAATGGGGGACATTGGTAATATTTGTTTTGGTTTAACGCCATAACCAATCGCCGTCATTATTATCGGTATTTGCGTGTCTGAAAATTTATCTATTCAAAATTCTGTTTGAATCGATTTTCCTATTAAGATTAATAACGATTCCTATTTCGTTTAACAGCCAATTTGTTCTTCTTCTTAAGTGCCGTTCATAAAAAAAATAACTTTAAAACGGGTGTTCAAAATAAATGAATCTACCAACTGTTAAATAGATACGGACCAATATAAGAGTTCTTCAAGAATCCTAGATTCCTATTTGTTTTCCTCAAATCAATTTATTTCTTGTTGTTGCATACAAATATAATTTAAAAATCTTCAGTAAACTCACTTTCTCAGCAAAGTTTTATCTTGTTTGAGGCGTATAAGCGCAGTATCCGCTAGTCGAGCAGACTCAACGAGTTTACTGAGCAGTGTTTTTAATTTAATTAGTAGCTGTGGTTTGTGTTGCTTTGAACACAGCTCAACAGAATGCATTAATATCCTAGGCTGTGCTGTGGGCGTGGACTTAATAAATGATGGGCCATTTATAAGAAAAAGCTTATTTAATTTGTATTTTAGGTGATATGCAGATACTCAAAATTTGAGGCAAGTCAAAATATGGCAAATTGTAGATTGAAATCGATACTTTGAAACTATATCAGCTACAAGAATTGATGTAGTTGTGCTTGTTCGCAAACCCAATGAACGTTCATGTGAAACAGGTAACTTCAGGCATTCAGTATAACACCGAAGTTATATTACCTCATGTTGCTCATCATGTTGGGCACACACACTTGGAACACTTATGAACTTTTGTGAACTGAATCCGAAAACTTCTGACATCGACTTTTAGCTGCATGCAAAGCAATTTATGAACCCACTCACAGCCAGAAGGTTGATTGTTAGTAGAAGTTAACCTTAGGCTGACTAACAAACAAAGTTGGATCGCATCCGAGTCGCTGCCGAAAGGTAGTCGGCAGCTAATCGACAAACTTTACTTGCTAATATATTATTTCGACGAGACTATTAATCACATAATACATAAGTATATATATATATATATACATATATATGTAGAAATAAGAAAAGACATCCATAGGAAAAACTTTAAGCATTTGTTTTTTTTGCCAAGAAATTTGGTGCACAGTTTTCAACAGCACGAAGCAGGGCAGCAGCACAACTGGCACTCGATTGCCATGCAAACATTCAATCGAAACAAATTCCAATTCAATGAAAATAAATGAGCACGACAAATAGCTGCCTGCTACACACACTTATACACCCCTAGCGTTTTATTTTTTTGTTGTTTTTTTTTCTTTCCTATTTTGGGTGGGTAGGGCATGTAAGAAACAGACAAAAATTTGACAGCTTTTCGCGTACGGGGAAAAGATTACAAACGGCAACGAGGCACGCCAATGCCTGTGGCAATGTTCTTGACATATTCCACTTGTTTATTTACACTAGGGACTCGATTCGACTCACAACTACGTAAGTACATGCATAAGAACTAAGGACTAAGGACTAAGGACTTACCGCCGCCGCAGGTGACGGAACATTGCGACATCGGTGCCATCTCCCAATAATAGAGCGGTTGCGAACAGGAGTTGCCATCGCCCCCGCACACGCCGCAGCCGTCGATTTTCTTCGTTGAGCCTATTTTCAAATCGCAGCCGACACGCTGAAAAGAGAGAATCAAATAGAAAAGAATTGTTAGCTGCAAATAATGACCAAATTGAAATACTCTGCCAATTTTTCCTATGTGAACTAAATTTATTTAATGTTGAGTAATATCACTCGAAATAGAAATAAAAATATTTACAAGAAAAAAACCAAATTCTTCAAAAAGAATGCATTCAATTTATATTTATAATAAAATTAAAATAACAAAAAAGATTAGCTTATAAAGTCTTATATATTTAGCATTTATTTATATTTATTTTGTATTCCATAATTTGTATGCTTGCGAATTGCGTTAGAAAAGTAGAAGACTCTTGTCAAGTGTATTCAAACGATAGGAACTCAAATAAAAGAAATGCTACGTAAATAAGTGTAAATCAACTGTTAGCGGTATCATATCATAACCTATTGGCAAACAAGCACACACCCAAACACACACACACACACACACACACACACACATACACACATAAACACGTACACATGCCGTAGCAGATGTAATAAATAAAATATGGAAATCAATGAGAATTCGTTGCATAAGCTCAAGCTCAAGCGCGTAGCAGAGCACAGACAGGCAAACAGTTGCGCGAATCACTCGAATCTACTTATGATGTATCTGTGAGGCATGTCTGCGTATGTCTGTGTGTGTGTGTGTGTCTGTGTGTGTGCCTGTGTGTGTGTGTGTGTGTGTGTGTGTGTGTGTGTGTGTGTGTGTGTGTATGTGTGTGTGTACTCGTACTATGTATCAATGAATGATATGCAGCTGGTGCCTCATGGCACATGCCACAGTTTCGAATGTTGCGTATTGAACTCGAATATCAAAGGAATGTTATTTAAGACATTGCTATTTGATATGTAGCGTCAGTGTAAGATTTTGGTTAGGAAATAAGCAATATTTTGCAAGACATATAGTATTTATACAAAGGATTAAGATTACGTCGATTTTATTTATTATCTATTTATATTCAATGCTGATCGGTTTGATGTCAGATTGCAAAGGACTTGAGCTCGACAACTTTGATCAATGCGACTAGCTAATAAATAGAAATGAATAAATAAAGTGAGCCAAAAAGGAAGACACTTAATTTTCTCTTTTTAATACTTTGTTGTTAATATTTAAAGCTCTAGCATTTAATATTGGCTTCTGGTAAAAGTTAGAAACATACTTGTGTAAACTTTTAGACGGTGTCCTTTTTAAATGCCGAGAAGTCTATTTAAAACCGAGAAGTCATAAAAAACTTGTACGTTGAATTAGGTCAATTCCTTACTAGTTTAAAGCTGAACTAGAGCAAAATATTAAGCCAAATAGCACCTGTTTACATTGTGACAGCATTTTTGAGTTGCTACGTAATAAAAAAGACGCCGAATGATTTCCGGGAATTCGCCAAATGACAAGTGGCAATTTGAAATGTAATCCAGTGCCCTGAAAGCAAATGTTTTGATCCTAACCCATGTCAAGCAAGATCTTTACTATAGAATGAAATGTGTTGTGGTACTTCATATGTGGGTGAATGTCTGTGTGTGTGTATGTTTTTTGTGTGTTTGTTGCGACTTTAGGTCTAAACCGCAAGACAAACAGCGCTAGCGAGAAATAAGCCCGTGGGCCGCATTTAAACCCACAAAACTGGCAACTTGCTATTTGATTTATTTGCAACAGATACACATATATATTACATATATATGGGTATATATATATATATACATGTCTTTATATAAGTGTGTGAGTTAACAGCGCTGGCTGCAGCATCTACTTCAGGGGACACCAATAAGGCAGAGCGTAAACCACATGACATATTGGCGTTTATTACAACAAATTGGGGTGACGATTTGGCGGCATTACAAAGGCGCTGAGGGGGGCAGCAACGGCAACGGCAACGGCAACGGCGTGAAACTAGGCGAAAAGTCGGATAAGGCCCAACACCAATACAACCACACACACCTACACACGCCCACACACAAGCACACACTCGAAACAAATTGAACTGAAACTCAAACAAACCACGGGCAGCAGCTCTAAAGAGGACAAGAGAGAGGGCGAAATGTTCTACAATAGTGCTGGGAGACGGGTAAGGTTGGGGTTGGTGGGGTGAAGGGGGCGCAACCGTTGCCAGTTTTAATGCGCCCACAATTTCTTGTCGTTGTTATTGCCTTTGTTTTGTGTTGCTGCTGTTTTTTGTTGTTGGTATTGTTGTTTCATTTTTTCTGTTTGCTGCTGCTGTCGCCAACTTCGCTCAACATTATTGTAGTTGTATGTCGGCCAAACTCGTCGCCGGCAACCTCCATGCTCTCTCGGCAAGAGCGCGGTGTGCCTCAAAAGTTATGCACAACTGTTTAGTTATAAAAATTAGAATAACTAAAAAAAGCTAAAATAAAACCTCATCGTCTGAATTTGCCAAAGAAAACTTAAATAACAATTCGCTTTGCAAAGTTGAGCATTTAATAAACTTGCTTATAAAAATACATATGTGGCAGCTAATAAGATATATATTATATTCAACTATAATTGAGACATATTTTATATTAAAATTGATAACGTTTAATGTATATTTATTTTGTGATGCAGCACACATTAAAAAAAAAACACAAATATATTTACAAATTAAAAACTGAAAATTCAACCAAATCGGCTCGTCTAGTTGCTGATCAAGAATTAGTCGGAGACGTGTTCTTCAACGCATTGGAAATTTTAAAACTAAATTTAAAAAATTAAAATGTCAGCAGATTTACACCTAAAGTGTCTAAGTTAATCGATCTCTGTTTATATTTAATTCTTTCGAATATCTCAGAGCTCAATGTGCATAGTACGTAAACATATTAACAATTATCGCATTTCAGTAAAATAGTATAGTATTGCATTAAATTTAAAAAATAATATTGCATCTCAACTTCTTGGAACTTCTTGAACACTCCAATCGCGGCATCCTGTCATAGCATACTTTGTAGTGTGCATTTCGGTGCTGCGTTGACGGTTGAATTCCGTGAAGTGGCAACCAGGCAAACGCCAGCAGCACGCCTTATTGGCATTTCAATAGTTCGCCTTTGACTGAAGTAGCAGCAGCAGCGACCGCAGCAGGAGTACCACCAGCCTCCACAGCAAACTTCACCTCCCGCTCTCCACAAATATTAGTACGAGAAATACTCCTACTGCCACACAGCCGCATGTATTGAAACCCTGGTCTGCGTTATGCCAGCCTTATGATTTATTTATGCTCACGTTCATAATGATACAAAGGCGCTTGCGTTATGCAATCTGCATATATATGCATACGTAAGTACGTATTACACTGGCGCAAAGGTAAAGGCAAAGGCAAAGGCAACGGCGACGGCAATGGCAATGGCAAGTGGATACCCTTTTGTTTTTATCATCACCCACTGCCAGCCTACAAGCCCGGCACACCACCCAACTTCGCTGACAAAATCGACATAATTTATCATCTTTTAGTTTTGGAGCACAGCTAAGTGGTGGAGCTCACCCATACACACACACACACACGGGAAGGAAGGAAGCCAACAGGCCTCACACACACACACTCATATCGTTGACTAAACATTTAGATTACATCGATAGTCTTTATAGTATATATAGAGAGACAACTCGGCTCACCTGACATTTGCCCTGTATACACATATCCAAACTGCCGGAGCGGCAACGTGTCCCATCCTGCACCCGTGCCGACAATTGCACAATGACGCTCTGCTCATCGTAGTGCTCCTCGGTATTACCAGCAGCCGATTCCGGTGAGACGTCCTCCGTAAGATGCGCCGGATGGCCTCTGTTTTAGCGTGCAAGAACCAGAAAGCAAATATACGAATAATATCAGTTGATGGATTGTTATGGCTCATTTAATGTCTTTGCAAATGCCTGATTAAACTTTGGACATTTTTCTTAAAGATTAGGATTACCCTGATGATTACACAACATCAAATGTTGTCTTTACAATTGGTGCATCAATTTCTTTGTTAGGAGTTGAATCAATTTTTTAGGTTATTTAAATTCATGGTTTTCACTGGCTCTCTGTCAAGTGTTATTTGTTTTTCATTTAGAGTCCCGTCAAAATCCACAGCTGTTTCGGCGGACGCTGTAAACCTTTGCCTGAAGGCAAATATCCACAGGACTCGAAACATATCCGAGTATAAAAAATAAAAAACACTCGACTTGGAGCCAGCGGAAGAATATTAAAAATATTATAACAACAAAAAACAAATTAAAAAATGTATTTATACATATTATATATAAGATATAAATCTTAAAACTTAAATCTATATAATTTTTTATATTTTTATTGCCCGTAAGTCAATTCTGATTCTGAGATTTAATATTCGATAACGAATGTTTCCTGGGGTTTTTCTTTTTATCTCGTACCATACCATCTCCCCGGGGAATAACAAAAAATCCGCAACTAAAGCTAACACTGCAATTTAAATGACTCTTCTGCCATTGCCATTCTGCCAGCATTTTAATCTAAAAATGACTTAATTCACATTGCCTGCTACACTCCTTGGGCCATTATGGTTTTTTGCCACACGAAACTCCTTGGCCAAGCGCTTCATTTGCAACTAAATTGCACAATTTTGACGCTTAGCAAATGATTTATAAATCCCGCATGCATGTAAATTGCGAGGCGAAGAGGAATATGGAATCTAACCCCGAATGGATTAACCACAAAACTGAGAGCCGCAAGAGCCACAAAACCGAAACGGCTGCCACTAATTTTAGCCGCAAATACAAATGGTCTTAAAAAAAAAAACTAGCAAGTGTGCTGTATGAGAAGATGTTATCGACTTGACAAATACCCTGCAAGCTTTATGTTTATTTGTATTAGCTATTATGGCCAATTCAAGTGCATATTGTGAAAACTTTTGCTTAAGCTTTGCTTAATTATAATGGAAAGGTTTTCATGAACTGGTACAGAGAGAAATATTTATTTTGGTTTATTCGAAATATTTGTATACTAAACTTTAAAAATTGTTTATGCCCTATTTAAACAAATGTATATTCCCCCTTTTCTAGCAATAGCCAGGTTATAGCGCAATGCAAAAAAAGAGGGAGTGCAAATAGCTTTTTTATTGTCACACTGCTGCCGAGAGTGGGTAACCAGTAGAGGCAGGCAGCTGCATCGGTATAACGGAAGCCATGATGAATAATGAGTGGAGATGCACGGACAGAAAATACATACAACTGAAACTGGAGGCAACCAGCCATTGAGCTGCTGGCCAGCCGAACATAAGCGCATTGGTGTGGACATTAATTTGGTATGCAACAAGCTGCGAGCTGCAAGCTGCAAGCTGCATTTACGAGCTGTGGGCTGAGCCGGCGACGAGTTTTACCTGCATGTCAGGGCACATGGTTCGACATAATCGTAGTGCGGTGTCCATTTGTAGAGGGTGCCATCGTAGGGGACATCATTGTAGGCGGCACACTGGTTCGCACGGAAGTCCTGTTGCTCCGGACACGGCTGCATGTTGCAGATGCGATAGCGGGCACTCTCGCCGCGACAGCTGCCCGGTGTGCTGCAGCGACGCATTTGTTGCATAATACCGCCATCGCAGGTGCGCGAACATGTCGACCATTCCGACCAGGTCGACCACTGTCCAGTGTTCGAGCCAGGGCCCGATGATCCTGTTGCACTGCCCTTGGCACGTTTCTGTTGCTGCAATTGGTGGATAAGGATTTTGTGTGTTCAGTTTTGCTAATTGAAAGCTCACAGGATGGATGACATCTTTGTATGGCCAGTTGGGATTTTGGATTTGCGATTTTGGTATACTCACTTCCAGCTCATTTTCCAAGTCGGATGCTGTATTCCATGTGTCGTCGAACGCTTGACTAGCATTCAGTTTCTTTGCCCAAGCGGCGTGTGAAAGCAGCAGGCAGAAGCTCGTCTGCAAAACACACAACAGAAATAACAAATTTTAAATTAAATTTCACTTGAATATTGTGCTTGAGGTGAGAGCTTAACATAATATCTATATTTGTATATATATCATCTTAAAAATTGTATTTTCCATTTTCAAAGCTAATATTTATGCCAGTTTCCATTTATTACCATAAATAAATAATAAATGAATATCTTATGTATGATTTTGCATTATTTTTTTGATTGTTACGATTCATTTTGATTTATAAAAAGGTTCTTTAAAATATCTTGACTTGATAAATTTTAAACAAAAACTTATTGTTTTCTGTGTAACCTTATAAATTGTTATTTCTGAAAGCAAACTGAATTAATAGTTTTAATAATTAATAATAATAATATATAATGATTGCGTATACTTAATATTTGATTATAGAATTTGTTTAATTATTATTATTATATATAATATTTTTGGCTATTATCAGTAATTGTCTAGTTTATTAAAAATGTATACGTTTATTATATGCTGATGAGAAATATATGTATGTGCTTCATACACATGTCTTAATTATTTTGTGACAAATTTGTGTAGCTTTCCCCTACTCATTATTTAAAACAGCATATTCGAATTATGTCTGCACTTGCGTACCAGCTGAGGCACAGCAACAACAAAGAGAGTAACGTAATCCTAGGGCAAACACAACAATGCAGTGCAAACATGTCACCTGGTTTTATTGGCATTTCAAGTTGAGAAGATGACTTTTATATTTGTGTATAAAATTTTCAGCCATCGCACGCGGCTTTCACGTTAGTCACGTTAACAATTTGCATTTTTGGCCGGAACGCTGCTTTTTATATCGAAGGCACATTAACCTTAGGACACGCGTCACGTATGCCCCCCAGCCCCCCCTTACCCACAGGCATTGAAAACAATCTCGACTTGGCGTGTCAAGGGTTATGCTATACGATGGGCGTTGGGCGTGGACCAAACCGTATGTCGTGTATCTGGTGCCTCTGCTTCTGCTGCTGCTGTTGCTGTTGCTGTTGCTGCTGCTGGCTCTGCCTCTGCAGCTGCTTAATGGCGTGTCGTATGCCACGTGCCCCACGCCTTTTTTTTTTTTGCGAACAACACGTAATCGGGGTTCAACTGGGTTAAGCGTTTTACTAAAATAGACTACCGTAAGAGCAGACAGTTAGCCAAGTATTTATGTGCTAAAGCTCTCTCTTTAGACCCAAAGTACACCAGATTTCTCTATTCGACTTTTAATGCTTAACTTCATTTTTTTTGGGCTGCGTCGCTCTCAGTAATATATTCATCAAATGAATTTATTTACAAGTCATGTTCTTTCAAACTGCGGATTATAAAACTCAATCCAAAATTTATTTGCAAGTCGAGCATTTATCTGGTTCTTTAATTTATGTCTATGGACTGACTACACAGGCAAGTTTATACTTTTTAGAATAGTAATTTAATTAGCTTTAATATCATATTAAATAATAAAAAAGGTTTTATACTATCAGAAAAATGTTTGATTTATGATGTGTTAGTGGTTTGGCTTCGACCTCATTTCACTAATTCTTCTGTATCATAATAAAGTCTTTCTCAAGCCTTAACTTTATTTTGAACTCAAATGGCATGTAAATAGAATATCTTAATATTTTCAAACTGAACTGTTGTTATTACAATTTTTCTTCTCTTAATTGTGTCTGTAATTAAAATTCTATAAATATCTCACCATAAAGTATATTTTTACCTATATTTTATAAAATATTCACTAATTCTTGTTAAACTTAACATTTCTTATATTTTTATGTAACAAACTTTCGTTTCAATATAAATATTTAAAATATGTTAAAAACATAAATATTTATTTTATTTTCAATTTATATTGATTACAAAATATATGTAAGCCTATAAAATGAATAGAAAATATATTAATTTGATACATGATTTTTATCAAATTTAATTATGTGTAGAAATTTGAACATTTCTCGCTCGTAAAGCTTTCCATTTTAAAAGTATTTTACGGACACTGGAAACTGACATAACCCTTTCAAAATTCAACCGATTTCAATGCGGAAAACTAGTTTGGCATTTAAACTTCATTATTATTTCATTGTCATTTAAGCGATTGTATCAGTCGTGAATTCGTTATCGAGCAGTTAACAGCTAAATGCCTCAATAACCAACTACAAATGGCCAACATGGATATGTACCACAAGTCGACTTAACAGCTTGTTTAACTTAAGGCCCAGCACACAGCCAATGGACCAATCAACAACAACTGCAGCAGGGCCATCTGATGCTGATCCTCTTGACCGAGACACCGAACAATAAACAGCCGACATATGAAAGGCTAATCTTAAAGGCAAATCAATGGCAAATGGACCACAGACAAGGCAAAAAAAAAAAGAACACACACACACTAAAGTGGAATCCACATAAATTGTGCTGTGCATGAAACATGATCCAACTAGCCAGTTACAGACACACACACACATCGAGTCGAAGCTTAAGACAAAACCATTTTATAGCAGTTTAGCTGGGAATATGTAAAAACCCATTGGGCTTACAAGCAGAGACACAGTAGTGGAACACAAGAGATGGATGAACTGGCAGCTAGATGAAATGTCCGATAAACTGAATGTAGTGCAATAAAGGCTGTAAAAGAGAGAGACACACACAGACACACACAAACACACACAAACACATAGAGAAACTGTTAGGAAAATCGGCGTAAAATCTCATATGTCCATCCATGCGGTTAGAAAAGCTACTAAATTACTATTTAAGTATCTATTACCACGTTTCAAGTGTTTGAGGTCCGAGCCACCACCACCGAACCTAAATCCAACCCGACATGACCCTGCCCCATACCCCCACCCACACACACCCTGCACTGCTTGCTCCCCTTAATGGAAATAGCTTCAACCCTGGCGACCCCAACACAAGCATAAGAAAAACAAATAACAAATAACTAAAGACTGTGACTGGGCCAACAAGCCAGGTGTACAATGAGTACGTACAGGAAGTCGTGTGTTTTGTAGGTGGTCGTCTTTTTGGGGTTGCTAGGTAGGTGTTTTTTTCTTCTTTTTTTTTTTTTTTTTTTGGTGTTGTAGGGGCATCTATGTACTGCCTACCGCTTGGAAGAGGAAAAAACATTAGCAAACAGCACATTGGACGAGCAGATTTTATGCGAATCCGGTAATTATTTATTTATGAGTTGAAGCAGTTTCAATAACTCACTTTGCCTCATCTACCCATCCCTCACCCCTCCCCTCACCCCACACCCTCTTCACAACCTACCAAAAACATGGAGGTATATTTCTCGAACATACGTCAAATGTCGAGCAGCTGCCTGTGTTTATGTGTGTGTGTGTGTGTGTGTGTGTGGATGTGGATGTGCGTGTGCTGTGAGTGCTCAGGACGTAGTCGGCGTCATCATGGCAGGAAGTCATTGTAGGTAGTTAGTTAATGTGCACAGTGGTGCGAAAATTATGAATTTGTTCCATGCGTTTGACTGAAAGGTTAATGGTTAATGGGCAATTATTATTGCTTAATGCCTTCTGATTAATGCTGAACAAAGTAAAAAGATGGACGAGGAAGTGTTGTGTGCTTAAAAACTTCACATTAATCTTGCGAGCAAAGTGTCTGCAATGCCATTAAACGCCTCGAAGAGGTTTATTTGTTTATCGAATGTTTGGGTTTGTTAACCTTTGACTTGACTTGACTTGTTTCACTGTTTGCAAGCAAGAGATAGAAAGAAAGTTTAAATAATAATTAAAATTCTAAAATCAGCTAACTCTAAAGATTTCCTATTCTTAAATTTATTAACGAGTTGAAAGGAGTGATTAAACAAACAATATTTTGGAAGGTATGAGTATTGAAAATCTGGTCGAGAATGTTAACAATTATATCACAGGAAAAAAGTTGTCAAATGTAAAATTATTTATAAAATTCCAACTTTGCATATTCTTCGTCTTCTTAAAATTAATAAGGGGTAAAAGTGAACAATTTAGTGAGTAACAAAAGCAAATATTCTGATTGAAAATCTGGTTGAGTTTGGCAGTAGCTGAACATTTTAATTTACATCAAAGTAAGGAACTCTCAATCATAAATTCGGTTGTAAAGTTTCATATTACGATGAAATTGGCTTAGATAAAACATAAAATAGAATGTCCGCTTGTAATTTATTTGCAACAGCTCCACCGTGCAATATGTTTTGCCAAGGCTAGAAAAAGACGACTGTCAAGTCTATTTCGAGAGAGACGTGAGTCGGCTATATATATATATATAAGTATATATATACATGTATGTATTTCCAGGTTCATTCGTGAGGCAGGCAATTTTTGCATAAGTGCCAGGCGATTGAGGTAGGGATGCTACTGAGATGCTGCTGCCAAGCATCGTCAGTTAGTCAGTCAGTCAGGCAGTCAGTTAAGCAGTTAGGCTGGGCTAGGCAGACAGGACAGGTAGATTAGACTGTCAAATGTAAGCAGTGCAGTGCTAGTTGATTGTTTAGTATTGTAACTGTATCTAAGCAAGTATGTATGCCTATGTGTCTGTGTCAGTGTGTGTGTGTGTGTCTGTGTGTGTGTGTTTGTGTGTGTGGGTAATGTGTCTGTTGCGTCACGTCAGTTATTTATTCAAAGCGACAGGCGGCACAAAACGTCAATGAGCGAAAATGTTTCGTATGCGCAAAGGTTAAACAATGTTGGCTAAAAAGGAGCCAAAAATGGGAGGGTGTGTGTGGTGGGCAACAGAAACAAAGGTAGACACAACAGCAACAACAACAATAACAGCAACAACAACAATAACAGTAACAACAACAGCGACACATCAACAACGAGAGAGACAACAACAATAGCAGCAATTGGCAAAGCTGCGCTCAACTTTTACAAGTAGTTGCTATGGCAACAATAAACCCGAGACAGAGTCAGAGTCAGAGTCAGAGCGTCTGACATGACAAGGGATGGATAGATGGATGTCTGTTTGGTTGCAGCCAAGGGTTGGAGTTAAGTTTTGGG